TTTGATAGATGATACATAAATACAATACTAATGCCACCATTTTGAGTGTGTTCTTCTAACATTGTCATAATATTCTGTTATACAGAGGACCTGGATAACATGCGGAAAGAATATCAAGATATATAGTGAAGTGATATCATGTGTGGGATCTGCTGTGTGGTCAGTTTGACCACACCACATGATCCACTGGAGGAGAATGTGCTTCAAAATCTCAAACACAGAGGACCCAATTGTAGCAAAGACATTACAAAAGAAATCTCAAACTGCAGTGTCCTATTCTCTGCACATGTACTTCATATGAGGGGTTGCCTGACCCCTCAACCTCTTCAAGATGACACTGGGAATATGCTTCTCTGGAATGGAGAGGTGTTTGGTGGTCTGAAATTAGAGCAGGAAGAAAATGACACCAAAGTTCTTCTTCATCAACTGTCAATGGCCACCAGTGCCTCAGATATTGTATGTTTGTTATCACAACTCGAAGGACCGTGGGCCTTTATCTATTACCAAAAGTCTGAGCGCTGCATCTGGTTCGGGAGGGACTTTTTCGGGAGAAGAAGTCTGCTTTGGAAATTCAATCCTGAAAGAGCTTTTTTCACACTCGTATCAGTTGCTTCCCAGCCAGCAGATGATAGTCAATCCCAATGGCAGGAGGTACCACCTGGTGGAGTTTACAGGTTTGACCTAACAGACACTTCACTAGATGGTACATTTATTTTTGAACTTTATCCATGGATTTTCCACAGTGACGACAAGCCAATTGAAAGCCCGGAATTGAAATGTGAAGGTCTTCCCAAATGTGTTTCTTTAAACACAAATAGTTCTGGACTTTACCTGACCTCCCCTGTTTGTCCGATGAACACATCCATTTCATCACTTACAACTGAACAAAATCATAACGCCTCTCAAACCTCTGTTGAAAATCTGAAAGCATTCTTAACAAACACTGACAAGAAAGCAGTGGTTAGTGCACTGATTGATGTTCTAAGCGAGGCCGTTCGTAAGAGAGTGCAGTACTTACATGCTCGGGATGCACTGGAGGTTTCCTTAAATCAAACAAAAGCTGACATCGCCATTCTTTTCTCTGGAGGAATTGATTCAATGATACTAGCTGCCCTTACTGATAGGCACGTTCCTGCAGACAAGCCCATTGACTTGCTCAATGTTGCTTTCAAAATGCAAGAAGCAAAGATGCCTCCCAAGTCCATGAAGAAAGGTAAAAATAAGAAGACTGACTGTGATGATGCTGATAAAACGCAATTGGATCAGCAGAAGTTTAATCCGTTTAATGTGCCTGACCGAATAACAGGAAGAGCAGGTCTGCAAGAACTTAAAAATCTCAGTCCAAAGCGCCAGTGGAACTTTATCGAAATTAACGTAACTCAAGAGGAGCTGGTGGAAATGCGACAGAAACGCATCTGTCATTTGGTGCACCCTTTGGACACTGTTCTGGATGACAGCCTTGGATGTGCTATTTGGTTTGCTGCCAGAGGAATTGGTGTCATAAATGAGGCTGTTGATGAAGAACTTTATATTTCAGAAGCAAAGGTAACATTAATACTCTGTTTGTATTCAGTTATGTCTGTGTGCAAGGACTAGGTCACATTGTATAAAATGTTATCTTCCTGTTTTCACAGGTGGTTCTGACTGGCATCGGGGCAGACGAACAGCTGGCGGGTTACTCCAGACACAGGGTGCGATATAAACACTCGGGACTTGAAGGACTAATCAGAGAGCTGGCTATGGAACTGGGACGAATATCCTCAAGAAATCTTGGAAGAGATGACCGAATCATTGGGGATCATGGAAAAGAGGCCAGGCAAGTATTACACTTCAACAGTTCAAACAACATACAAGAGTATATTCACACAAGAAAAGTTTATTATTAATTCACTTGTTTGTTCAGGACCAAACCCATTGCCGATTTCTTTTAAATTTGTTGTAGTGTTGTTAAAAGTATTGAGTTCGGTACTGACATTTGAAAAACTTTAATTTCCCGCTAACATTCAAGTGTAGTTGAGTACATTTTTAAACACTGCTGATTGGCCATTATGTTCACATGCTTAACAGAAGTAACTGTGATTGGCTGTGAAGTTCATCAATTCACCATTCTTCACCAAGTGCAAACACAGACGCACGGACACTGGGGCAGTTCGAAGCCATGTAGATCAGTCGGTCCATAAGCAGATCGCTCGTATGTCATCTGATAGACAGATCAGCTAATCTACGCAGCTTTGAAATGCTCTAGTTTCCGTGTGTCTGTGTTTGCACTTGATGAAGAATGGTGAATTGATGAACGTCACAGCCAATCAGTCATTTCTGTTGACTATTTGAACACAATGGCCAATCAGCGGTGTTTAAAAATGTGCTCAAATGCACTCAAATGTTAGCGGGAAATTGAAGTTTTTAAAATGTCAGTATCGATTGTTACTGAACTCGATACTTTTAACAACCCTAATTTGTAGGGATGCTTCAATCGATCGCCTGAAGATTGGTATCAGTCGATTCGACACATTCAGTCGACACATTTCATGACTTAAGTACTCACCAAACCAATCGCAGGCGTTTATGAGTTTACAAGCAAAGGAAGATGCATGTGTCCTCCCGTATATTATACATAGCCTACAGCAGCCACAGCACAGGTAAATGATGCATGAGGAGGTAAGCGATCGATGCGCTTGCGTCACAACAGCTAAAATATATACAGATGCGGTGCGAACTGTTTATACAGTTTATTGGGGCGACTAGCGCGAGTGATGCTCTCTTTGCCCCAAGTGTAGCCATTGTATTTCCAGTATTTTAGCTGCCATGACACGAGGGGAGCGATTGCCCCTATCTAGGGTCTTATCCAACCTTATGCCCTTTCCTGGAAGCTCTGCGAGTCTCCCCCAAATTCATTTGGTCCCCAAATATTTGTTTTAATACCTGGAAATCATGGCAACAAGAGTAAACGAGAAAGAGAACGGATCGTAAGAGGCACAGTGATGTTCTAGGCATTACATTACTTAGGTTAAATAAATTGAGCAGTGAGATATTGCAAGTGCAAATCTCTCCCTCTTTCTCATTGAGTGATCTGTTGTCAATAGTTGGAGATGAGCTAAATGCATGCATTAAGGCCTTTTTACATATAACAACTGAAAGTTCTGTGTTTTTGGCAATATTGCAAGTTCACTAAAAGCTGACTGGAATTATTACATAAATAAAACTTTAAAAATGAACATGAATATTTAATAATATAACTTGTAATACACTCATTGATATAAAGAGTAGGCCCATTTCTAATTTTCTTATTTCTATTATGCACTCCAAACTTTTACTTGATTTAGACATTTTGAATTATTTTTTCATCATTTGCAATGTTTCCAAATTGCATTGCATACTTAATGGATTATAAAGCTTGAAGCACTAGAATCGGTACTCGGTATCGGCCGATCACCTTGACAAGGAATCGGTACTCTGTATCGGCTGCCAAAATCCTGATCGGAGCATCCCTACAAATTTTTTGCATTTTTGCTTTTACACTGCCCTTTTTGCAAGTGAAGCAGAAATTGTAAACATAACCCCACATATGTAGAGCCATTTATTAGACAGAAATGGTTGCGCTCCTGTAGTGTTGTTTCTGCCATGCAGAATCAACTTCACTGTTCGAACAAAAACACCACTGACAAACTCTTGCTGTAGCTCTGAGGGACCATTTACATATCGCATCTTTTGCTCACACAAGTTCTTTATTCCAAATGTAGATGTGTGCACACATTTAAGTTATTGCTTAATGCTGCGTTCACACCAGACACAGATGAAGTGTCAATCATGAGGGATTTACATGTTAAGTAAATGCAAAGATGTGAATAGACATCCTGCGGCACGACACTATTTTCGCACGAATCGCTCCAGTTGAAAAATCTGAACTTCTGGGCACGTTTGCACTGCATTAAACATTCAGGAGCTTGCTGTTGTAGGGGTGTGATTATGACGTAGCACCTGTAATTGGTATCCCGAGGGAAAATCCTCCTGCCAACACCGGACAACAGTTCATCAAACTGGACTCAGCTCAGTCCGAAGCACCGCTGAAAGCCTCCATCATACAGGTATAGTTTCTGGAGAGGTTGACGAACTCGCAGAGCTGGGTGCACCTCTGAAAGGATCTAGTGGACTCAGACATGGCGCTGAAGGAACATACATTGTTTTTCAGCCTTCATAAAGCACATAAACACAGCTATTCTCTCTAAAATCTACGCTAGCCATTTAGTTCAATGTTTACGCATTTATTTATGCTCAAGATTTATCATCTGATGGGAACACAGCATAACCATTGACTAGTTACCTTGAACAAATGCAGAGACTTTTTCGTTCATCAAAAATGAAACATGTAACAGAGCTAGAGCATGATGATGGTTCCTTAGCAATGGCAGATGGCACAGGTTCAGAATCAAACTATTGGTGCGCACCAGAGTATGATTGCTGTATTTATACCTGCCCACAAACTCCACGTCAAAGGTGGAACAAACTTGAGTTTAATTCAGACAAACCAAACAAGGCAGGTGTAAATACACTCCAAGATTAAATAACTAATTCAACCAGAAATGAAATGCAATTATACTGGAAATAATTCCTCTGTATATTTCTTTATAACTCAGATTCCCTTACTTGGATGAAGATGTAGTCAGTTTCCTTAACGGACTGCCTGTGTCGGAGAAGGCTGACTTGTCTCTACCTAGAGGAGTTGGAGAAAAACTACTACTGAGGTTGGCAGCTGTTGAGTTGGGATTGGGACTCTCTGCTCTCTTGCCTAAGAGAGCCATGCAGTTCGGCTCCAGAATCGCCAAGTTAGAGGACAACCATGAAAAGGCTTCAGATAAGTGCAAAAGGCTTGTCACCACATAATTTAATATTCTGACAGTAGTCTTTTCTTGATTTTGTTTTTAACATACAATTTAAATCATTGATTTAGGGTAATGGGATTGAGTTCAAAACCCATTTGTGGAAATGATTCACTCAACAAAGACAAAAAATGATGTTTTATTCAGATTGTTTCACTCTCATTATGTACTACATTAAATAAACAGCTGAATTTTGAAGTTGGTCCTTGAAGTATTTGTCACATTCAACATACGATGCCAAATTTCCCACATCAAATCGACCAGATATCCTGTGCACATACACAGGCTTCCTAAAAATAAAACCAGGTGTGATTAATGTTATTGCCTGTGAGCATACACAATGGCTTATTGTTTATGATTTGCCTTTCGGTAACCTTAATATCAGCCATGACAGAAAGGTCCCTGGTGCATCCCGCTCTTCAATAGGGTTGTTCTGTATGGGGAAATGTTGCATTAAAAAAGTAACATTTTAAAGTAATTATAGATATTGACTCTAGATCAACTGTACCTTCTTCTCATTGAGAAAAACTTCCAAAAGAGGAAGTGAGGTCTTTGAAAACAAGTAAAAGCATGGACACTGAAACAAGAAAAACACATCGAGGATATGAACCCTAGGAAAGCCAAACAGTACTGAAATGCCTTTATCATACAAGCAAAAGAAAACGCACAGCATCACGTGAATTTGTTTCACTTAAGAGAGGTTTTTCTTTCAGACACTGTACTTTAAGGTCCTCGTCCAACTCTAGAATCCCGTATTTGGATGTTTCTGAAAGTTGATATTCAATAATTGAATTAAATGACCATGTGTTTAGCAAAGCTGAAAGCGTACTGTTCTGTTTTTATGCTCACCCTCATCTTTGCATCGGTATGCCAGCACTAAATTGCTCTCTTTGTCTTTAGATTGGACTTCAAAGAATCTCTCTGTAAATGTCCTGAGGCTGAAGTCCTCCTTGAATAAAGTATCTCTGCAAAATGAACAAAATATTTTTCTTTTAAAGCCATTTCAAACTATGTCCTGGAGTGTTGTGACAGTCATACCCTCCGATAACTAGTAAGTCGTCATCCACAGCACACAACTTGATTGTCAACTGGAGACAGGCAACGGCACCATGTCTGTCCTGCCGAGACATAGAAAAGGAGTTTTAAAATAATCAAATTCAACATTAACAAATCACTCCAATACATGATGTCTACCTTATTTTAGACACATGCAGATATTCAATAAATCAATATATAATTGATAATGAACATGCACAATATTGATATCATGGGCATTTTAAAATACCGTGAATTATTATTTAAACTTTTAGAACATCTTTGAAAAATGGTCAGGTTATTGAATTGGAAGTGGCATTACGGTATCAATTGCTTGAATACAATTCATTTTCAAACACTAACATTTCCATGTTAATCTGGATTGCGATTTTGAATGTTCTGTCACTATTTATAGGACATTTGATCATTAACTCTGTACAGTAAGGCTCCATTTGTTAACATCTGTTAATTTAAAGGTGCCATATACTGCATTGGTTCAATAGGTTAAATCGTTCTAAGATTTCTACATAGTAGGTATATGGTTTAGGTAAGTTCAAACAATTCCCAGAATCAGTTCTATATGCTTATTTATCACTCCATAAAATACCCCTACAATCAGAAGGAAACACTGGCTTATCAAACACAGCTTGAGGATGCATATTAATGATCATAGAGCAACATATCGGTCTATGCTTCGGCTGGGGATCTCAGGTCAGGTCCGCATGATGTAAAATCTGACCTAAAGTATGTGAAAATGATGAAGCTGTGGCCTGTGAGTCACGCAACAGTCTGCTTTGTGTTCTAAATGGCCTTTTATCCACTAGGGTGTTACACTTATGGAATTTACATGAGAACAAGGAAACCATGACGTCTGAGGCTTACAGTATGGCCATATCCATATACTGTTCTCTTATTTTTCAACTATGCCTAGGTAGACCCTGAATTTCTTTATAGTAATGTAATTACAACTACAAAAAACATGTATTAATGTTAGATTGTTAATTTCTTAGTATACATAACACACCGTAAAGTCATAATGCTTTAATTAAATGGGGTTAAAAAATAATTGTAATCATTTTTAATAATTTAAAGAAATCATAAATATATTATTTACAGTGCTGTATTCAATACTATACTCTTCTAAACATAATATATATATATATATATATATATATATTGGTTTATTAACATAAATATCAAATTGAAAATCTTACTTGCACAATAGTCGTAAATATGTCCAAACTAAAGAGACAATTTAAATACAAATACAGTGGTGACTGCAAACTGGGTCCTGGAGGCCCAGTGCCCTGCATAGTTTAGTACCAACTTCACTGGCCCTCCAGGACCGAGTTTGGGCATTAAATTCATAAATGTCATAAAATTCATTTTTAAATGAACTTGAACATAACTATAGCTAGCTATTTCTCACTGTTGATTTTAATGCATTCACTAACATTTATTATTGAGACTTGATTGTTATCTATTGCACGTTATCATCTATTTTACTTATAAAGTAATAAGGTATTTTTTTGTTATTCCTTTTAAAGTTACCTTTTTTTGCAGTTTGGTCAATATCGTGTCAATATCATCATGATACATGATTCATGATTAAAACTTCAGCAAGTTATCACAACAAAACATGATACTGGCAGAAGCCTACCTTATTTCTTCTTGTACCATCGTTTATTATTTTAACATTGGGAAATTCTTGAGCCCACTGCTGGAACGCTTCATGGTGAAGATCATTTGTCTGTTTAATAGACGATACAGTTTATGATTTTGTGCACAATAATCATAATCATAAGTCAAAAAGTATGACTAAAAGCTAAATATTGTTAGATTTTTAAAAACAGAACAGAACAGTTATTGTGGACTCACAACCACATAAACAGTGTCCACACATCCTGTTTTGGTCAGTGCCTGAAGCCAGTGTGAGATCAGTGCACATGAACCGACGGGAAGCAGAGGTTTGGCAATGCCTTTCAAATGCTTGAATTTCCCCGTCGTGTCGATCTCAATATCCCGCTGCAGTCTCGTGCCATAACCTGCTGCCAGAATAACAGCTTTCATTGTCAGCTGAAAATGAATTTACAACAGCTTTGATCAGCTTGTGATTTTAAATAAGTTTGCGGAAATCGGAAAGGAGCACACTTTTGTAAGGACCGTACTCTGAGCACTGGGCAAAGGGTGCTGCTTTTTTCTGTGTCTAGCAGCAGGCTCAGACTCGGGCATGCGCATTAGCTGCCACTACGTTTGCGCTCCACATCCGCGAAACCGACTTAGCTCATGAATATTAATTACGTTAGGATGTGTTGCGTATACTAGGGGGCGTCATCTACTGTCATAAAAGGCTTGAAAGGGACTTTCGCACCTGTTTCACACACAAATTCTGTCCGTGCAAATAAATAAATAAATGTAAAAAATATATATTATTTTTAACGTAACGTTACTTCATTCATTTTATACCATATTGTTCTTTACATTATTTTATATCCTCTAAACGCGAATTTTGCCACTGTTTTTGGAACGCACTAGTTTATAAATACCCTAAGAACTAACAATACTGATACTAACATCTAAAAAACTTAATTTTAATATCATGCGACCTTTGTCTAATTTATATGTAAATTTAAATAGGCATTTATGTACATACAATTTAAATTGTAAATTGCACAATAGTCGTAAATATGTCCAAAGACATACAATTTAAATGTTCTTAATTTAATATTGTACAATAAAATTATTGATCTAACTATTGGTTGATAATTATTGTAAGGCTCTTAAAGGTATTAAAAATAATTTAAAATGCAACAATAAACAACTTTAAAAAGGCTCAACTCTTATTATTTATAAAATAATAAATTGTAATTTTTTCACTCTCATATAAAAGTTTTTCAAGCATTCATAGACGCTATTTCTGTTAAGCTATGTTCCTTACTTTGCTACAACTACAACAGTGCTGGAAATATTCCTCAGAGATTTTAATTCATATTGACGTGATGGCATCACCCAAAGGTGCTCTGTTGGATTAAGTTCTGGTGACTGTGGAGGCCATTTGAGTACAGTGAACTCATTGTCAAGTTTAAGAAACCAGTCTGAGATGATTCGGCCGCTATGATATGGCGCGTAATCCTGGTGAAAGTAGCCATCAAAAGATGGATACACTGTGGTCATAGAGGACATTGCCAGCAACAATACTCGGGTAGGCTGTGGCGTTGACAATGCTCAGTTGGTGCTACTGGGCACAAAATGCACCAAGAAAATATCCTCCACACCATTACACTACCACCACCAGCCTGAACCATTGATACAAGGCAGGAATAATCCATGCTTTCATGTTGTTGATGCCGAATTCTGACCCTCCTTTCCGAATGTCGCAGCAAAAATCGAGACTCATCAGACCAGGCAATATTTTTCCAGTCTTCTATTATCCGACTTTGGTGAGCCTGTGCGAATTGTAGCTTCAGTTTCCTGTTCTTAAGCTGACACGAATGGCACCCAGTGTGGCCTTCTGCTGCTGTAGCCCATCCGTCTCAAGGTTTGAAGTGTTGTGTGTTCAGAGATGCTCTTCTGCATACCTCGGTTGTAACGAGTGGTTATTTGAGTTACTGTTGCCTTTCTATCAGCTCGAACCAGTCTGGCCATTCTCCGCTGATATCTGGCATCAACAAGACATTTGTGCCTATACAGAACTTACACTCACTGGATATTTTCTCCTTTTCAGACAATTCTTTATAAACCCTAAAGATGGTTGTGCATGAAAATCCCAGCAGATCAGCAGTTTCTGAAATACTCTGACCAGCCCGTCTGGCACCAACAACTATGCCATGTTCAAAGTGACTTAAATCACCATTCTTCCCACTTCTGATGCATTTGAACTACAACAGATAGTCTTGACCATGTCTAAATGCTGCCATGTGAATGGCCGATTAGAAATTTGCGTTAACGAGGAGTTGGACACGTGTACCTTATAAAGTGTCCAGTGAGTTTATATTATAGATCAGTGGTTTACCGTAACTAGAGTTTAATAACTCTGTGATTTTAATTAACACTTTGTATTTTTACGGTGAGTTTGTAGCATTTTCATTACAGTTGCAGTAATGCTCTATTTTTTACAGTAATGTTCATAAATGTGCAAACTTCAATCGTGCATAACAATGAAAAGGACTTTGATCCAACAGCACCATCTATTGGTTGATTCGAGGAATTACAGACCCGTCGCTGAGTGCGCGTCACTGATTACTAACAGCAACGCTCTTCAAAATGACACATTTCATCGGACAACTCGGAGAAACTTGTATCGAAAGTAAAACAACTACATTTATTTAACCTTTCTCATCCCTTATATCTGAATAAACGCGTGAGGTTTTGATGGAGAGCAGCGAGAGCGCCGTTCGGGCCGCGTTGACCGCTCAATCTTTCCTTCAGAAATATGACCGCAGGGAACTTCAAGAACTGCTCAGCCTGACCTCCTGTAACTGGCTACTCTGCGCCGAAGAGCATAAGCTACCAATAGAGACACCCCCAGGCATCAGCAAACAACTGAAGAACATCTTACATCCCAACATAATCATTCTGGCTCCCTCTGGCTCGTGTTTGCCGCTGGATTATACAGTGGTCCACCAGATAGTGAGGGAACTTACAGTGGGGATTTATGGGTTTAACCAAGTTCCTGGGGTCAGTTTACTACCCAACTATGACCAGAGCTCCACCTGCTTGTTGCCGCCGGCGTATTATGATACCAAGGTCGGTCAGATTTTAATAAGCATAGATTATACAATGAAGGCTCTCTGGCACGGGTGTCACATCCCTAGGGAGAGACGCATCCGCTTCTGTGAGCTTTGGAGATCCAGCATGGCCGTGGATTCAGATGGTGCTCCTCAAACACAGAAAGATGTGCTTGCAGAGTTTCTCAGTGCAGGTGAGATATACGAATTCTATATATTTTAGTCTATTATACCCAAACAAAAGGCTGGTTTACACAATCACTTTGTGGTGGCACAACATGAAAAAACTATAAGTTAACATATTGGTTTTTACAAATTTTAGTGGATTGAACATAAAACGATTAAGTTGCCCTCCAAGAATTGTGTTGTTTCTGTTTAATTTAAATAAGCAGTTTGAACAAACAGCAAACGTCATTTTTGAGCAACATAGTATTGTCAGTTTTTTAGGCTATTAGGGATATTATTATAACAGATAACAGCCTAAAACCACAAAGGACATTTTCAAGACATAAAATACAGTAAAGTTTTCTAAAATAAAATTACATGGGTTACATGAAAACATTTCATTTTTTTTTTATTAAAATAGCTTACTTACAACCAAAACAAGAATTACTAAGACTATATAGGTGTAAAAACAATGATAAATGATAGAAGTATATCAGCCTGCAGCCCTAGTAAAGTGAAGGAGACACTATAGTGTCACTGAGCGTCGTCTTTCAGATGAGATATTAAAGATGAGATATTAAACCGAGGTCCTGACTTTCTGTGGTCATTAAAAATCCCATGGCACTTCCCGTAAAGTGTAGGGGTGTAACTCCTGTGTACAAATTCCCTCCATCAGACCTTGCCCATTATGGCCTCCCAATGATCCCTATCCACTGAACATCACTGTCTCTCCACTTCACCAATAGCTTGTGTGTGGTGAGTGTACTGACACTGTTGTCCAGTGGCTACTGTTGCGTCATCCAAATGGATGCTGCACGCTGGTGGTGGTGTGGAGAGACCCCCATCATGATTGTAAAGTGCTTTGGGTGTATGGCCATAAACAATAAATGTGCTATATAAATAAAGATTACAATTACGATCACGATTACAATAAAATTATATATGTTTGACCAAATAGGTTTTATTTAATTATTTAATATATATGATAATATATAATATGTTAATATTAATTTAAATAAAAAAAATCATTAATTATAGTTTCTCAGTACAGGTGAGATACAAAGTGTTTAAAACTATAGACAAAGATGTTTACTAAAACTAAAAACTTTAAAATAAAAAATAAAAAATAAATTGGAAAATATTTTGACTGTATAAGTTGAGGCAATATTTCTAATTTTCTTAATATTTGTAAATACTTTCATGAATAACAAAACATTAAACAAATTAATTTATACAAAAAGGTCAAATATCCAAAGCCCAAAAACATAAAATAAAATGTAAAAAATCTAGAAAATCCAAAATATATTTGTAGGATTTAGGGTTATATAAAACTAAAACTATTTAATAATAATAAAAAAATTAAATAAAAAACACAATAACTGAAATAAAATTAACTGTTCAAAATGTTTTTAATAAACGACATTAAGTAACATTTGTAATTTTTAAATTTCATATTTTTTCTAATTAAACTGCGACAAAAGTTCTGCAGTTATAAATAAAAATAAAATGATGCACAATTCCATGTTAGATTCTGTATAATTTCCATTAATAAAATTAATAAATCATTAACTTAATTATTGCATGTCTTTGATCATTATAAACTGAAATATTATCGCAGTGACATTAAAATAACACTGATTTGTATCACCAGGTTTAAAAGACATCTCAGATGAACCATGTTATCAGGACATTTATAAGGAGAACACTGATGCAGACCCAACCTATGAACCCGAAAGCACAGAAGAGGAGAATCTCTTCTCTCAATACTCAGAAAGCATCCTGATCAAGCTGAGTGCATTCCTGACCTCTGCCCGCCAGCACCAAAATCTCTTCATGTTCGAGGGGTCTTATTGCCTGTCCAATGCTGTCCGACTCACAGAAGACAATATTGATCTGGCCACATACCAGAGGCTGCAGAAAAGGCTGTCAGAGCACATTATTTTGGTTAAAAACAACCTTGAGAAGAATGCTGAAGTCTGCAGGGAGCTTGCTTATCTCAAACTCATCTCGTTCCTTGTGCCACTGCTCATTTCTTTGAGGAAAAAGATGTTGATTCCAAATCTGTCAAAATTGCTCTCACCTATGTCAGGTTTGTGTTGTCTTTTTTATATTTAATCAAAAATATATACATTAATTAATTAGTTAATTATTTATTTATTTGTTTGTTTGTTTGTTTGTTTGTTTGTTTGTTTGTTTATTTTTTTTATTTATTTGTTTGTTTGTTTGTTTGTTTGTTTGTTTGTTTGGCAGGGACAGTGTACATTAATTAACATTTCTGCAAATGCACCAGAGTTAGCCAGAAGGCTATTTTTTATCTGTTGTCCCTGAACAACCTAAAAAAAACAATACAAGAATTATCCAATCAATCAAACATAGTTAAGAAGTACTAAAATATACATAGTTTTGTAGATCTTAATAAAAAATTTATATATACAAATTAAACTAAAACACCAACATTTTGTAATAGAGATAAAAATAGTTGAAACGCATTTAAACAACAAATCATTAAGATGGTAATGGAAACATGCTAGGTTCATTCTAATAGGAATGATGACACGTCTGATGCTCTGTAAACCAGATTTTTAGATGTTTTTTGAATATATTAAAGGCGGTTATATCTCTGATGCTGCCAGGGAAAGAATTCCACTCCTGTGCAGCTGTAAGTGAAATGGCACCCTGACCAAAGACACTTCCGGAGTGGGACAATACAGTATCCTTGGGCTGCCCCTCGTGTTGCTCTTTGTGTGGTGTTCCTGATGTTTACAAACTGACTGAGGGGTGGGGGTGACAGATTTTTATACATCAGATAAATGTTTGAATACTTAATAACATTTTCCCAGCTTAACAATTTATGTTTTTGTAAAATGTTACAATGACAATCTCTTAGAGGCTTTCTATTCAGTAGTTTAGTTGTCTGTTTGTAAAGTGACTCTATGGGTTTTAGTGTTGTTTTGTTTGCCTGTGACCAGATTGTTAGACAGTAGGTTATATGTGAAAAAAAATCATTGAATTTATGAATATTTTTGCTGCCTGCAGTGATAAATATTACCTTATGAACCAGAAATTATATATATTAAATTTTACACGGTTACAAACCCATTTAAACTGTCATTTAAATGTTAATTTTGAGTCAATTTGGACCGCAAGATATTTAAATTCAAATACAATTAGTATTTTGTCCCCATCCACGTAGATGTCTGTTAGATTATTTGCTATGTTTGCTTTAGAAAAGTACATTGCAACTGTTTTGTTTACATTCAGTTTTAAACTGGTTTAACCATTCTGAGACATGAGTCATAGCTTGTTAAAGTTATAGTTTCCCAGTATTGGGTTGCAGCTGGAAGGGCATCCCCTGCCTAAAACAAATGCTAAAAATAGTTGGCGGTTCAATCCACTGGGGTGACCCTTGATAAATAAGGGACTAAGCTGAAGGAAAATTATTTATATATTGATATAGCAAAGAGAAGCCCAAACTGTTTCCTATGAAGGGCCAAAAACCAAACTTAATTGAGGGGGGTGGGCTGAAGGTATACCAACCTCATTCACTTATTTTTCTTTAACTTAGTCCCCTATTTATCAGTGGTCGCCACAGTGGAATGAACCACTAACTTTTCCAGCATATGTTTTACTCCGCAGTGGGTGCCCTTCACAGCCACAACCCAGTACTGGGAAACACCCATACACTCTGACATTCACACACACACCCATACACTACGGCCAGTTTGGTTAATCTAATTCACCTATACCAAATGTAAGAGAAACCAGAGCACCCAGAGGAAAACCATGTAAACACAGGGAGAACATGCAAACTCCACACAGAAATGCCAACTGACCCAGCCGGGGCTTGAACCAGCAGCCTTCTTGCTATAAGGGGACAGTGAAAACCACTGAGCCACTGTGTCGCCTCTATAACAAACTCCATTACATTAAAGTTGCTATGGGTATGTTCAAAGAAAAACAATCCCATATATAGCAGAATAGAGTTACAGTAGTCAAGCAGCACCTGTTTTTGCCTTGATTTACTTATCGATGTCCTCTGCAGTATCAGCTATCCATCGAGTAACCGTATTTATATTATTAAAAATCTGATTAATTTACAACATTTATTTGAAACATTTAATTTCAGTCTGCTTTTTTTGAAAGAAGTGCCGATCTGCGTTCTATCTCAGATGGGATGGTGGGCCAAATCAAAGGTTACCATGGGCCCTAGTTTGGGTATCTCTAATGTAGCAGAATGAAAAACAGTGCATTATTATTTCAAAACAAATGTAATTACAATTTTTCTCTGCCAATTTTCTTTTTACAAGCACAATAATCAGGATTTTTTGTGACTCAAAATGAGGCGGAGGTGGTTTATGCTACCTGAAACAAACACATTCTGCATTGTTCGTGTAATCTTATTATGTAAAGCATTATCGTTTTTAAAAAGACTAACATTAAGTACACTCATGTTTCTCTTCATATCGAATAAGTCTTTCGCCTTTTACTAAAGATTTCCATGGAGAGGAACACCTTGAGTATTTACTAATTTTTTGATGTCCTGGTTCAATGTAGGATTTTAAAAAGGCTAACATTAAAAGTAATTAAATACAGGACTAGTGCTTGAGCATCAGTTGTTCTCTGTCAGTAGCTATGACAGGTGATTTTTTTTTAGCCTGATATTTTTGTCTTATTTCTTTCAACAGGTGGAAGTGGAATTTATTTTTTATGGCCACCTCATAATTCTCTAGGAAGTTAAATCTCTGCAAATATTTAAACTGTATTATATAAAACAAATAATGCTATTAATAGTAGTAATAGTTTTAAGCAGTTTGGATTGGATATGATGTAGTCACATATACATCAATTTCCATATTACATAACGTTAAATGTTTGTTCATGGTCTATGGTGGAGATTGTGGGAGAAAGTTTCCTATGTGAAAGTATGTGTAAGGAAGATCATACATTTTTTTATATTTAGAATTAGTTTTTTTATCTCCACAAAATCTGTCTATAATGGCCTTGTGTTGTCTTTTGCCATCACTGCTATGCTTGATAAACACGAGTTTTCTTTTTTGCTATTTTCAGATGACAAGCTGAAAACAGAACGAGAGGTTCCTCCACACCTTCTTGGACCTGAATTTGCCTGCAAGCACTTCCCACACAAGCAGAATCAGTATTTTAACCTTCATGGAGGGATAGAATTTGATTTGGGGACACCTTCTCTTGATGATGCCACTGAGGAAACGAAGGTGACCCAGCACGCACCTTGATGTGTAAACGAAATCAAAAAACATGTCGAAAATGCTAATCGTTTTAAAGTCATCTAAGGTTGGTCTCTAAAATCGATAACAGGACTATACTGAAATAGATTTTTGATGCCAATGCTAAATGTCAATTTGATTTTTATTTTGACATCAAGGTAGTTTACATGAATTGTAGGTACACAACATTTTTTTATTAAAAATTATTATTAAAAATTATTATTTCCGTGGTCAAAAGGGCATCAATGAGTGGAAGTCAAATGAACGTCAAGGATTTGATATTAAATCATTTTGCATGTTTATTGACTTGTTTTTTTATGTTGTTTTGAGCGCTGGGGAGTTTAAAACTACACTCAGAGCACACAAACCTTATACCCATATGTGAATTCTACACAGATAATATTAAAAGTATTATATACAAAGTATAATCTACAAATGTAAACTACTTTGGCAGTAAACAATACAATCTGATTTGTAACATAAGTAAAAACAAACTTTAATTTTACTTTAACTTTATTTTACTTTAACTCTTACTTAATTTGAATGAGCAATGTGAATTAAGTTGAAATAATCAAAATGGAGGAACTCCGAACTGTTAGATTTAATAGCCAGTTAATAAATAATGACATTAGATCATTTATATTTATGCCACTGAGATGATATTAAATTCAGAGTTTTTTCTTTTCTGTTTAGGTGGCTTTCAAAACTCTACAGGCTCAGGCAGCCAATTACCTCTATGAATTGCTTCGTCAAGACTCTACATACAAAACCCATTTTCCTATACCACTCAGTGAGATTGAAGGGAAAAGGTCTGTGCTATTTACGTATTATATATTTGTGTATTCACACCGATGATCTAAAACAGGGGTCACCAACCCTGTTCCTGAGCTACCTTCCTGCAGATTTTAGTTGCAACCCTGACCAAACACACCTGTTTGTAATTATCAAGTGCTGCCTTAGGTACTATTAATTGGTTCAGGTGTGTTTGATCAGGGTTGGGACTGAATTCTGCAGGAAGGCAGCTCTCCAGGAACAGGGTTGGTTTTCCCTGATCTAAAACATGATGACCACATATGTATTATGGCAGAGGTGCCCAGAGTCAGTCCTGGAGGGTTGGTGTTCTCCAAAGTTTAGCTCCAACCCCAATCAGACACACCTGGGCTAGCTAATCAAGCTCTTACTAAGCATTCTAGAATAGTCCTTGCAGGTGTGTTGAGGCAAGTGGGAGCTAAAACCTGCTGGACACCTGCCCTCCAGAACTGAATTTAGACATCCCTGTCTTATGGTATCTGACACTAATGCTGCATCCCGATTTGCATACCATCCGTCCTAAATAGTATTCGAAAATTGAATTAGTTTGTCCTAAACTGTAGTATGTTGAAAAGTGCTAAAAGTTCCTGTGCAGTTTACGTTACCTTATGGAGTCGTGCAGGTACTCGGTAACCTTTAAGGCAAGCTCATCGCATCAGAAACGACTCTAGCTTATGACTTCTGCTTCGTGGACATTTCACATTGTATGCATCACCGTCGCATTTGTACACATGATTAAAATGAATGCTTTTTGTCTCCCAAATTCATATAATAAAGAGAACTATAAAATGATGTCATTAACCGGTTAACTGTAAACGTTTCTGTTCAGAACGATTAAAGTTGATCTTGTTTTCGTTTTTTGTTTCTCTTCCAGCAAAATGTCATTCGTTTCCGTTTTTCGTTTCTGTTCCTTGAACCGGTTCAGAGTCCTGGGTTTCCGGATGGTTTACTATTTCCGGTAAACATTCGTAGTGTAGAACCATCTGTACTCTAACCTCTAATATTACCCACCATACATTGCGCGTTGGACTTTAATTTAATAAGAACTACAAACGTGGGTAAAACGTGTAAACAAAATACAAACATGGCATCGCAAGACCAATTGTCAAGTAGACAGGCTTCGGTAAAGTTGTTTGAATGACTATTAATTTCTAGCTAACTGGAAAAAAATTTATTTTTATAATCTGTGTTATATTTCATCTGCAACAACAATATGAACTTATATCAAGATATGTTTGGTTTGGAAATTAACTTCTGAATAGATAATTCTCCAAAGACCTAAAGAAATTTCTCTGCATGAAAGATCCGCGAATGGCAGATTAATCTGCTGCTGAATTTACAGCCAGGTAGGTAATTACATATGAAAGAAATGTGGATGATGTGTTAAGAGATGATTGACAGGGGACTTAACTAAGCTACATAACAGTCTGTTAATGAGGAAGAAGTATGTCTCAAGGCTAGCATACTCTTATGTTACTTTTTTTATACTTTATGAGAATTGGGATGTACCATAAGACAATGGTCTCAAATTCAAATCCTGGAGGGCCACAGTTCTGCAGAGTTTAGCTCAAGCCAGCTCCAACTCCTACTTGCTTAATAGTTTCTAGTGATCTGGAACATCTTAATTAGTTGGATCAAGCGTGTTTGATTAGAGTTGGTGCAAAACTGTGCAGAGCTCTGGACCTCCAGGAATCAAGTTTGAGATATTGAGGCATTAAAAACAGATCCTTCAAGTTTCTATCCCCTGAAACCTATGTTGATCTCCTGAACACAATTAGGATATTTTTAATGAAATCTGAGAGCTCTCTTATCCTTTTATTAGCCCAAACTTTTTGTGAAATTGTAATTTAAGAGTTCACACTTAGCTGATGATTGATAGTAAAGCTAGTTTGGCGTGCTGTCCCGGGAGAGAGCCCTGAGCTTATAAGATCCTCGAGCCCTGGGCTCCCTCCCGTTGCAAGGCGAGAGGGGAGTTTGAGCTCAGGTAGATCTCGATGACTCCCCTTCTTGCTTGTTGTAGCTAAGTGTCAGATATGTAAGCTGAAAGGTGTACTCAGGGTTTAGCTAATGTTTTTTTTTTTTTTTTTTGATTAACTGTTTAGAGTGCTTGTTTTTGAACTGTGGGAGGAAACGGAGGACCCGGGGAAAACCCACGAGGAGAACGAGCAAACTCTGCACAGAAATGCCGTCTGGTTTGGAAATAAATTAAACCAGGGGCATTCCTGCTGTGAGGCAACAGCGCTAATCGCTGGCCACCGTGACGCCCGTTTGAAAGGAGGGAAAGTAAGGGTGGGTGGGGGGGTTTCTTCAAGACGAAGATATTGAGATGAGAAAAGCCTGGTTATTTATAGTGAGTTAAGGATCGTCTGTAAGGATAATCAGTCATTAGCTAAAGTTGGAACAGCTGTGAACATTCATAAGCTCGTGATCCTCTCTAAATTGAAATGAAATAATAAAATTTAGTTTTGGCTTATAATTTTGTTTTCAATTGTATAAAAATCAGAACGATGCATTTTATGACATACAATTTGTGTTTTGCAGCTATAATGTCATCTCCATTGAGCTAGAGTCATTTTATCCTCAACATAACCTGGTTCAGTGGTGGGGGGCTTTAAGCTCTTCCATTAAAACCCTCAAAGAGAAGAGACTGCCTTTAACAGATATTGAGCTACACGAGCAGTTCAAGAAAACATTTGGCTACACAAAAGCTATGAAGTGCAAGGTGAGAAATGACCAACAATTCAGTGAGTACTGTTGCATATACACCGTAAAAAGCAACAAGTTGACTTTATTTAAAAACAAAGGTGAGTACACCCATTGTAACTAACTGACTGAACTTTTTATTCATTCATTTTCTTGTCGGCTTAGTCCCTTCATTAATCCAGGTCACCACAGCGGAAGGAACCGCCAACTTATCCAGCAAGTTTTTACACAGCGGATGCCTTTCCAGCCGGGAAACATCCACACACACATTCACACACACACACTTATACACTACGGACAATTTAGCCTACCCAATTCACCTGTACCGCATGTCTTTGGACTTTGGGGGAAACTGGAGCACCCGGAGGAAACCCACACAAACGTAGAGGAAAACATGCAAACTTCACACAGAAACGGCAACTGAGCTGAGGTTCGAACCAACGACCTTCTTGCTATGAGGGGATAGCATTACCTACTGCGCCACTGCTTCACCCCAACTGACTGAACTTTTCATAATTATGCAAATAGTTGACAATGTCAGTTTATTTATATAGCACAATAAGGGATGTGCACAGGGACTTTAATTTAAATGCCATCATAATCGCAAGTAAGATCTGGTTTCTTTAAAAAAACTACATGATTGATAAATGATATTAAGTGGGTCTCAGACAGGACAAGAAGCACTGCAATAAATTACATTGATCCACGGTAAATATGGCAAATATGGACATTTTTTTTACCACATTCTTTTCAGTGGAGTTTCTGTGCTCGATTGCTGATCTTAATAGCTCTTATGGTTGAGCTAAATGGTCTTTCATCTCATTTTACTCTAGAACAACTAGATGGAGGTCTATTAAACTGACTAGATTTTAAAGAAATTACATTATCAATGCTGTAAAATGAACCTTATTAAATTGAAAATAGTCAAATTAACCATTTACCGGAAGTTTATCGGTGGCTGGAAAACACATGCTGTGCATATAGGCCATTGAAAACAATCCAAGTTATAACTAAAACCACAAAACAAGATTAAAACTGAACTGAACTAAATTAATAAACTCCAATAAGAAAAAGGTTTCTAAATGATAAAAGCCAGTAAAATACTAAATAAAAAGCATTCAGTTGTTAAATTCTTTGTCAAACAGGATTTTTTTAACTTGGATTTGAAAACAAAGATGGTGCCAATCTGACAGATGTGGGCAAATCATTCCAAAATTTAGGAGCAGCTAAAAAAAATTGATTGCCCGCACATTTTAACCTAGACAAAAGTCTGATTTAATGAGGGAAGTGATCTGGTTGGATGATGCTCAGTCAACAGGACAGACAGGTAAGATGGGGCAAAGGTATTTCTCGCAACTGAATTTTGAAGGAATTGTTATCGAGACATAGCTGAATGGCTAATCCCAACATAAACTAAATTGCAGCACATGAAAAAAATGTTCTCTGTTTGTTCAAACTAATTTAATGAGCTGAAATGACACAACTCTAAAGGTGTTTTTGGGACAGCTTAATTGTTTTATGTTTAACCCACTCAAATTTGTAAAAACGAATAAGTTTACTTAATTCCTTCATGTTGTCGCAACACAAATCGATTGTGTGGAAACCAGCATCTTTTACAGTATAGTCCACCCTTGAAGAAACAAAGGCATTTTATTTTTTTAAAGAAAAAAAAAAAGGATATGTGACGTAGTGGCGCAATAGGTAGTGCTGTCACCTCACAGCAAGAAGGTCGCTGGTTCGAGCCTCAGCTGGATCAGTTGCTGTTTCTGTGTGGAGTTTGCATGTTCTCCCTGTGTTCGCGTGGGTTTCCTCCGGGTGCTATGGTTTCCCTCACAGTCCAAAGACATGCTGTACAGATAAATTGGGTAGGCTAAATTGTCTATGTTGTATGTGTGTGGATGTTTCCCAGAGATGGGTTGCGGCTGGAAGGGCATCCACTGCATAAAGCATGTGCTGGATAAGTTGGTGGTTCATTCCACTGTGGCGACCCCAGATTAATAAAGGGACTGAGCCAAAAAGAAAATGAATGAATGAAAAAAAAGGATTTAGTTCATTTAAATCGCTTCAAATAGTTCATTTACTTAATTCTTTAAGGTTTACTCTCTTTTTTAATTAAAGTCAACTAATTGCTTTAAAAGGAGCAGGTTTACTCTCTTTTGTAAGTAAAATCAACTAAACACTTTTACTTTTTAAGATCAAAATGTGTGTGTCACTCAGAATGTGGCGTTTGGGCTGAAGGCGGCAGCAGAGAGAGGACTATGTGCAGTGTTTTCCTCATTGAGTCGTAGGGTCCCGCCGTCTCTCCTGCATGCTCTTGATGAGCAGGGTTTCTCTCTGCTTCATCATGCTGCCATCAACAACCAGACACACATCATTGTTCAGCTCGCGGCTGCAGGAGTCAACCTGAACCAGACACGCAGCGAGAGATTCACTAACACAGGTCAACACAGTGCCAGTCTCTACTTATGTGCAGCTGGATTTAGACATTTCTATTTGTTCTTATATTACATTTTCTCTACTGACAGGACAATCAGGGGTCAGATTCATTGAAGGAGCTGGTAAGGGGATTAACCTGGACATTTTAATAATTAATTATTAAATTAATAATTTATATATAATATTTAAATGTACCATATTTAATTATATTAATCAAACATGAACTATTAATATTATCATCATTATTAATAATATTATTTTTAATCAATGGCAAATAATTATAGCAACTATAATATTTATTATAATATTATATAATATATCATTATTATTATTATTATTATTATTATTATTGTTAGTATTTATATTTTTGGTATTTGTATTATTATTAAGTATTATCAAATATTATTATTGTAAGTAACACCTCATAGTACTACAACTGCCACTAATACTATTCATAAAATAATAATTAAAGCAAAATTGATGTGAGTAATGTTTATTACTATTATTTATACTAATTATTTAATAATAATAATACCAATTATTATCATTAATAATGTTATTAAAATAATTGTTATTACTTTATTATTAATGTTTGTTATAATTATTACTTTGTTATTATTTGTAATAACTATATAATAATAATAATAATATTATTATTATTATTATTATTATTATTATTATTAATGTTTAGTATAATAATCATTATTTATTATTATTTGTAATAATTATTTAACAACAATAATAATAGTAATAATAATAATTATTAATGTTTATTATAATAATAATTATTACTTTGTTATTATTATTAATACTTATTATTTTGAAGATTAATAATGTTTATAATAATAATTATTATTACTTTATTATTATTTGAAATATTTTTATACTAATAATAATTATTATAATAAATGTTATTATTATTTATATGTTTTTATTATCAATATTATGATCAGTAGTAGTATTAGTGGTGGTAGTTAAATTATCACAGTAGTATTATTAATATTATTATTGCCCTTTTTAATTAGGTGACAGTCCAAAATTAATTTACAGAGCAAAACAGAAGCAATAGTTTAATATCAATGATGTGGAACTTGGTCTGATGTGCACAGAAAGCATTTATAACTTTCTTTAAACGTTCCTCTTTCAGGCCTCACACCAATGCACCTGGCAGCACAGTGTGGTTCCCTTGAATCCCTGAACTGTCTTCTAGCACTGCGAGCCGACTACAGAGTTGTGGATAAGAGAGGTTGGATGGCCATTCATTTTGCAGCCTTTTATGGGCAGGTGGCATGCATTCAGGTGCTATGTAGGAAAGACCCAACATTACTGGAGATGAAGACCCCTGCTGAGTACGTAATATATTTTAATTTCTTTGTTTGTTTTCTAATTTAATATCATGTGATTTATTCCTGTGATGGTATATCTGAATCTTCAGAATTATTACTTTGATCTTCAGAGTTACATGATCCTTCATAGGTAATTTTAATATGCTGGTTTGGTGCTCAAAACTTTTTTCTTTTTTTTTCAAATATATTTTTATTGCATACATTTTCACATTTATTTACAGATGTAGGGTACACAGAGCTTTACATGAGAATCCAGAAGGTGTACAAGAATACAGTTTTTAAAAATAAGTAATTTACATTAAGAATTTAAAGATACTGTATAATGACAACAGTATTATGACAGTTATGGTATTAAACTACCATAGCAATAAAATAACTTCAACAAATTTTCAATCGCTAATCTAGATGCAGTGGCCCTGCAGCTGAATGGCTGTACGCACTGTGCGTACCTATCATGAGAGGCTGGGAATAATTGTGGCTTTTTTATTTATTCATTTATTTACTACATAGTTTAAATAGATTATTAAACAGTATACACTACAATATATTGACTAAGCAAAATAGAATGACAACAAATGAAGGTGTGTATTTGAGTGTTTTAAAGTGTGTATGTACTTGCATAGTGGGAGATGGGTAAAGAAATCTATTGGCTTTAGTTTTGCTGGTGGTTTTTCCGCATAATAAAAATTGCTATTCAGATAGCGATTGTTTAACACAAGGTTCAAAATGCACTCAAAACAGACAAACTTAGGGGAGACATTTGCCAAAAGGCCTAAAACTAATGACAAATACTGATCCCCCACACGGAGTGGTCCGCAGTCAGCACCTGAGTCGAGCAAACTCTTTCTTTCATCTGACAGATCAGATTCAGTTGCTGCGCAGCCTCCTCGCATGAAACAGCTACCATTCAAGGTGTTTTAAACTATTTTATCTGACTGACTGGCATAAATAAGCAGACATCTCCATTCTGACAACAAGTTTCTGAGATTTCTCACACTTTTAACCGAGTTTGTTCCTTCGTGGTAATGTTGGAACATGTTCAGTGCTGTTGCGAATACTTTGTAAACGACTGTCCTGCTCATTGAAATTATTTGATTAAATAAATTAAATTGTATTGACCGGCGCAACATGAAAAACAGTTTAATATGCTTCTCTGAAACTGAATATTTCAATTTTATTTTTTTTAGGCTAGATTAGGCTATAATTTTGTTGAAGCATAGCAGATTTGTTTTAAAGTACTTCACCTCAAATGTTATTCGTTCTTCTATTTTATCTAGAAGGTAACTCACCAAGAAAAATATTTGAACAAAAAGACAAAAAACATATAAAATTCATTTTAAAAAGCCATTTTTTTCCAAGAAAAATATACAAATAATGTTTTTGTTTGAGACTTTTCACTACTCAACTGTGTGGGTGGATGATTTACAGTCAGTGGAAAGTAAGGATTTAATTAATGCTTCACTAATTGTATTGTATCACAATCTTCTGTTATATTTGCAAATGTTATAATATGTCATAATTTTAAAGATTCTGTCCAGAGCATCTGCTTTTTCCTTGGTGATGTTGTGCTTTTATTACATTTAGACTTCAATGGAATATTAAAATTAAAAAGGAAATGAATTATGTCATAACGAATGCCCTTAAATAATGTAGCCTCAGACAGTAAGCATCAGTGTTCCTTGACATGATTAGGGGAAGGGGGTGGGAATAATTGTGCGTACCTTGGAATAAAATCCTTCAGGCTCCTTTGTCCAGCTGTGTGTTTATTTCTTAGCCTAAACTGTGGTCAGGTTCTTATCTACATTTCTTTAAAAAAAATCAGTTTCAATCAGATAAAAATAAAGAACTTCTAAAAATAAAACTTAAAAAATATAGTTGAATAGTTTAAGTAAAAAATAATACTTAAATGTTTGGAAACGTTGTCTTTAAAATTGTATGCATCTTTCCTGGATAAAAATCTTCATTAATTAATTCTTGATAATTAATATATTTAAAAAACATCATACCTTCTCCAAAAAAATTTAATGGAGGCAAATTCACATTGCACATATCTAGTAGGTTGAGCATCAAGTTTCATCATAATATAAAGAAACACACCAAATGTACTTTCGAAATGTCAGATGATGAATGTTTTGCAGGTATGGCAGCTCTCCACTGTTACTGTCAGCGACCTCAGGTTCAGTGGAAGCTCTGGACTTCCTGTTGTCCACAGGGGCAAACTGGAGAGAGGAAGACAGCAAGGGAAATAACTGTGTCCACCTGGCAGCTCTTTACTTTCACACAGATGTCCTTAAACACCTCATTCAGCTCAATCTGGATGGCCTTCCTGTGTGGAAGATTCTTGTCGGTATGATATTGCAGAAATGTGTATTCTGAATGGTTCTGTTATTTAAAATAACCTCCTGATATCTGCTTTTTTTCCCTGCAGAAATGCTCCAGATTGAGGACTTTAAGCGGATGGAGAAGACCCTCGGGTGTCTTGAGGCTCTCTGTGTAAACACTGAGTCCTTCAGTGAGGATATATTGGATGCAGGTCATAGATATAAATAATAATAATAATAATAATAATACATTTTATTTATATTGCGCTTTTCTCAAACTCAAAGCGCTAACAAGAGCATCAAAACACAGAAAAACATGAAATATACAAAAAATTAAGAATGATAATAATGATAAAAAAATACATATTAAAAGAAAGACTCATAAGTTATAAGCAATAATTAAAAGATGAGTCTTAAGAAGTTTCTTAAAAAAGTCCAGGGAACTGGCGTTCCTGATGTTTTTGGGAAGAGCATTCCACAATTTGGGTGCACGATACGAGAATGCCCTACCTCCTATGAGGCTAAGTTTGCAACGGGGCTGAAACAAGGTGAGCCCCGAAGCAGAATGTAAAGTCTTAATATACAAAGTCTAAATAATGTCATTATATACAGTATATATATATATATATATACTGGTGGTTCTCAAATGATTGTTTGTGGCCATCAAATGTCTGTTTTTACTAGAACAGCATAAAATAAACTGACAATAAGTATGATGTATAATTCATCAAACATTTAAAAGTATGCATTAAACATGGTAAATCCAGAAGATTTGTAGATTTGAATTTATAAATAATATATAATAGCACATATTTATAAATTATTTTGAATAAACAAAAATTAAAATACATCGTTTTAAAAATACAGTAGCCAAAACTTTTAAAAACACTGCCATGGATAGCATATAGAAACTGGTTTTGCTATGGGATTTTAATTATATATACCTTTTTGTATCATAACTCTGTGAAATATGTGTGATATATAAACAGAATTCTGACTTTATTTTTGAATTAATATTTCACAATAATAAATCTTAAAATTTACATTTTTCCCTCAGAATTATTGCAAACATTGTGTTGTTGAGATTTATTTATTTATACATTTTAACAGAATTAAAACTTTATTGTTCAGCAGATTAATAGATATTTGGTAACACTTTAGAATAATGGTCCATTAGTTAATGTTAATGTATTTACTAAAATTAACTAAGTATGAATAGTTTTGTAAAGCTTTTATTAGTCACAGTCAGTGTGTGAACAAGTGGTCAACTTTTTTGGTAGTAGTTTGGTAAAACATGCTTCAGGGAATCAAATTTATGAATGTATTTAAACTGCATAAAATTTATCAACAAAATGTAAATGTTTTCAGTGTTTTGAGGGATATTTTGTTACTATTTTAGAGCTTACTATAGGTCAAACTATGTGTTTAACTTTTCCTTTTTAGGCGACATGCAGATATAAACACCTATTTTACAAAAAACATATTTTGTACATACTTAAAATGTCTTTTGGTGCTCTAGAACTGCCAGTTTCAGACTGTTGAATAATATGTGGTAACAGTTTATTTTGATTGTCCATTTGAGTATTAGTAGACTGCTTAATATCTGTTGATACTGCTCCTTCAACAGACATTAGACTGACTAAAAGAAACTTTGCAAGTACATGTCAACTTACACTAACCCCAACCTTCTACTTATAATCTAATGAGAATTAGTTGGTATGTAGAAGCAATGAAACTTAAATTCAACAAACGGACCATCAAAATAAAGTGTGACCTGATATTTTCCCTAGCATTGATTGGCGTGATAATGCATTCACAATGGTATAAATCGATATGTAATGTATATTATACATTTTTAAGTATTAATGTTTAAGGTTTAAATCAGAAAAAGCAATTTCTTTCTATTAAAGAGCTGATCCACCAATACACCTTGTTTTAATGTCTTTCAGGGGGGATCAAACATTAATTAGGGGGGTCAATCCCCCCCAAACCCCCAACTAATTCCCACCCTGGTCGTAGTGCAACATTAGTTAATGCACTGTGAGTTAACGTTATTTAATTTAAATAACATGAACTAACATTAACAAACGCGAATATATACCATAATAAATGTATTACTAATAGTTTGTTCATGTTAGTAAATACAATATCTAACATTAACTAATGGACCATTATTTTAAAGTGTTGCTAAATATTTCTGTACAGGTTTCACTATTGTCCTGTACATTAGGATACACACGGTAAAACCCAACAGGCAATTTTATCACATGAAATCAGTGTATTTAACTCAAAATGTACTGAAAAAGGATTCCACTAATTTAAAAAGAGTTTTGATCTCAGTGTTGAAGGTAATGAGTTAATTTAATACCTCAATACTTCAACGTAAATGGAGTAAGTTCACAGTTCTCGTATAGATTAGTTTTTTTCTAACTCAAATGATTTGTTGCAATCAGTTTCCTCAAACAGTTTGTACTCACTTGGTTTAAGTTCTCTTCATTTATTGGGTTTTACTTTGCTCAAATTTGCTTCGTTTACTCAAATGGATTAAGTTTACAGTACTCATTAGGATTAGTTTTTGAACTTAAATGGTTTGTTGCAATCGGTTTCCTCTAGCGGTTTGAGTTACCTTAAATTATTGGGCATTACAGTACTTAATTGGTTTGAGTTCTCTTCATTTATAGGGTTTTACTTTGCTCAATTTACTTCATTTACTCAAAAAGTTTACAGTGCTCATTAGTTTTTGAACTTAAATGGTTTGTTGCAATCGGTTTCCTCAAAGGGTTTGAGCTACCCTAACTTTTTTGGTCTTACAGTGTTTTTAAATGTAAAATATAAATAATAAAATGCATATCTACCGTAAAAAAACATATAACAATATTTTCCTATTTTCCACATTTTTGAAACAAACATTGTTGCTGTATTGAATTCATCTTGAAACATAAAATCTGAGTTCTGAAGCAAAACGATTGAGAACCACTGATCTAAAAGATAGAAAGATGTTAGCAGATTGTGTAATGCTTCTGTTGCTGTGTTTCAGGAGGTGTTCCAGTGCTGGTGAGCTTGCTTTGTTCAGACAGACAGGTGGTGCAGTGCATGGCTACAGCGGTCCTGTGTCATATGACGGAAAACTCACAAGTCTGTGAAGAACTGGTGCATCATGGTGCTGTACCGATTCTGATCAAGCTCCTCAGTGTCCATCAGCCCGAGCTGGACTCTCGCTGTGCTGTTATACTTGCCGATCTGGCCGCACACAGCAAGCAGCACCAAAGCCTCATTGCTGACTTGGTAGGTCAAAAGTTACGCTATCTGTACACATTTGAGGACCCTACACTTACATGGGATTTTATTGGTCATATTTTAGTTTGGGAATGAATCCACGTTATTTAAGGGATAGTTCAACCAAAAATGCTAATTCTATCAATATTTACTCATTTATTTACTTATTACATTATTTATTATTTACCTATTTTAGTTTTATTGTTTTGTTGAACACAAAATAAGATGATTTGAAGTATGTTGAAATGCATTAACCATTGACTTAGTGTTTGTTTTTTCCAACTATGAGCCAATGGTTACAGGATTCCAGCATTCTTCAAAGTATTATCTTCTTTCGTGTTCATCAGAAAAAAACTTTATCTTTTTGGATCATGTCGTGGGTGAGTAAATAATGACAGATTTCTCATTTTGGGATAAACTATCCATTTAATTATTGACTATGACTTTTTCTCAGACTAACATTTTTATAATAATAGCTTAATAATAATAATACTAATAAATAAGAATAGCTTAGCAATAGCTTATTAATAGTTGGTAGGTTGCTTTTACGTTTAGGTTTGGGATAGGATTTAAGCATCTGAATTACAGTCTTAGTAATCAAGGGAATGCTAAAATAATGGTCCATTAGTTCATGTTAGTTAATGTATTACAAATGTACACTGTCTTACTGTATTATTAATGTTTACTGATATACACTATTAGTAATACATTTACATTTTTTATTTGTCTTTTTTAACTTTAGTTAATGTTTACTTCAATAACGTTAGTTCATATTACTTCATGGTGCATTAACTAATGTTAACAAGTACAACTTTGGATTTTAATAATGCATTAAATAACGTTGAACTATGATTAATAAATGCTTTACAAGATTATTAATTCTTAGTTGATGTTAGTAAATACATTAACTTATAGACCATTAAGTGTTATCATAATCAGAAACAGCCAGTGCTCTAGTAATATTCTGTTAATAAGCATTTATATTATTAGTCAGAATTGGTCCTTAAACTAAAGCCTTCAAAGCTCTTTTTTTTTAACAAATGCCTCAAATTGTTTTGTGCAGGGTGGGGTGGCACTTGTAGTGAATCTTCTGACCTCTGACCTTCAAGATGTTCTAGTAAATGGTGTCAGGTGCATCCGTACTTTATGTGTCAGAAGTCCACACAACCAAACTGCTGTCGCACATGCAGGAGGAGTTCCACATCTCATCCAGATCCTAGCTGTGGATTCTGGTACTGTTTACCTTTTTTGAAATGTACAGTAATGAGCTAAAACAAATGCAGGGTTCCACAGTGAGAACTGCCTAATAGCCTGGTGTCAATATAGAATTTTAAGTGAAAAAGTGAAACATTTTAAACCATTTAAGTGCAAGATTCAAAAAAGAACCTAAATTAATCTTTCATTTTTTGCTTAGGGGTTATAAGAATGTGAAAATTAATGTGTGTGTTAAATGTCTACCTGTTGGTAACAAAAACATAAAAGGACCATCTAACCAACAGTTCCTTAAAAAGATAGTTCAGCTTAATAAATAAATAAAGTCCTCACTATTATCTCAGCCTCAAGTTGTTGTAAATGTATGAATGTTTGACTTCTGTTAAACTCAAAACAAAATAATTTGAAGAATTAAAGACTTAAAAGGAGGTTCAAAAAAGCAATCAAAACATGGTTATTTGATTAGTTTGCATGGTGGATGATGATGTTTTTTATATGTTATTGTATTGTGAATAAGTTTGCTCCTATTTCAAAATGTGGAGGTACTGCTTGTCTTATGAATTAACTGTATACTTTATTTTTTAACAGCGTAGACCACAATGGAAACAAGCCCAGGGCTTTATTGTGTTTTTATCCTCGACAGTTTTATTAAAAATGTATAGGATTCTTGTATTTTTGTACAGTTTGTCTGTAATGTGAATGGACGCTGGACATGGGAAGTGAGGGTCTAAACGCAGGTTTATTGAGAATGGTCAGGCAAGCAATGGTCAATCAGGAGCAAACAGATGTATACGGGCAATCCAGAGTCCTGGTCGATAAACAGGCAGGTGGTCGGTACAGGCAGGCAGCAGGCAACGTAAATAAACAAACAAAACAAAGCAAGGGTCAAACACGGAAGGCAAGGCAAGGAAAACGCACCATCATGTTCACTATAGAGTTTAACAAGACTCAGCAATGAAAGTGTCAAAATGAGCTGTATATATGTGTGTGTAATGAGTCCATGAGCAGCATCAGCTGTGTAAGTCTAATCAGTCAGGATCAGAAACCGCTGTGTGTGTGGTGCAAGACTGGATCTTGTAGTCCATGAAATGGCGGATTTGTAGTCTTGCGGATTTGTAGATTTTTTACCGATCCGTGTGTATACAAGCGATCGGCACAGGCTGGATCGCTGGTGACCGTGACATTGTCTAAAATCTGTCAAATAAAAATTACATTTAAATTCAATTCAATTCAATGATGGAAACCTACATCCATAATAAGAACAAAAAATACTATAGACATCAATGACTGATGCTTTCCAACATTCTTCAAAATATATTCTTTTGTGTTCAAACAAGAAAGGAACTCAAACAGATTTGGAACAAGTGGAGGACGAGTAAATGATGACAGAGTTAAAATCTTTGTGAACTTACCCCTATATTTTTGTATGATTAATATACCTGGGCTTTCAGACAAAGTGAAATAGATAAATAAATTTTGGCTCTTCTGCACTTAAATGGTCTAACACTAACTTGATCAATGTCAAAATACCTTTCTTGATGAGCAATCTAAAATAATAATAAAAACTATATGACAATTCTGTTCTGGATGCTCTGTCATTTCAAGAGATTCTGCTGTGAATTTTAAGTCAGTTGTGTTTAGATTAAACAGATGTGTGTTTTTCTTGACAGATACACTGCAAGAAGAGGCCTGTCTGGCTCTTGCTGAATTATCTCGGGGTCACAGGGAGAATCAGGCACTCATATGTGAGGCAGGAGCGGTTGGTGCCTTGGTTCAAGCCCTGAGACACAGAAAGATATCGGTGAAGGTCAAAGCAGCTTCAGCGCTTGAATCTCTAGCCAGCCACAATTCTGCCATACAGCAGTGCTTCCTCAGACAATCAGCTCCTAAATACCTTCTACAGCTTTTAACGGTAATGTAACTGCATCTTTAGCACCCTGTTTAAACTTCTATTGAACAATTGCCCCTGTGAAACAAAGACTTTAGTTTGTAAGCACATAAATAAAACATATTTATTAAAAGGATGACTGCAAATTTAAAGTTAAAATTACAATTTAAAATGTACAATGTTTATTTTGCTAGCACACGTTGTTATTCTTGAGGTGAACAATTAACTGCAAGTTAATCCACTGTTTTGGTAGTCCCCAATCAAAGTCTGACAATCAAATAATTTTGAGGAAATCAAAGTCTCTGTTGACGTCAACTGGATGGCTTCCATAGCAACGTTCTTCACCATGGCTCTTTTACCATTGCTGAGGGAATGATGCACAAATAGAAAGCCCTTCCTCCTATTCAATATTTTGTTTCAGTTAGAAATACATTAACATACTAATATAAAAGTCTCAGCAATTAAAAAAAAGTCATTGGATAGTTAAGCAAATTGAAGACTCTGAGTCAGACCAAAACGCGAGATGGGTCTGAAATACGGGAGACTCCCGGGAAAAATGGAAGTGTTGGCAGATATGATCATGATAGATTTTGATAATACACTGCTTAACATAATTTAATAAATATTTGAATGATTTCTAAACATGGCAACCTGGCTTTTACATTAACATTTTTGGTCTCTTTGTTAAATTAAAAAAATCTAAAAATGACTTTTGCTGTTTGTTCAAACTACTTATTTAAAATGAGCTACAACAACACAATTCTTGAGTTTTTTGGCGGAATACAGAATTGCTTTATGTTTAATCCACATCAATTTGTAAAACCTAATAAATTAAGTTCTTTATGCTGTCCCAACACAAAACGATTTTGTGGAACTCAGCATTTTTTACAGTGTAGTTTTAAATACCTCAACCAGTTTTTACATAAAGGGCTCTATTTTAACAATCTAGGCGCAAAGTCTAAAGCGCATGGCTCAAAAGCATTAAGGGCTTGTCCAAAACCACTTTTGCTATAGTAAGGACGAAAAAAATATGCTTGGAGCCCAGGCGCATGGTCTAACAGGGTTGTGCTTATTCTCTTACTGAGTCATAGGTGTGTTTTGAGCATAACATACATAAAACCAATCAGAGTCTCATCTCCCATCCCCTTTAATAGTCACTTTAAGAGTCAGTTGAGTTGTGTCATGGCGTATTTGCTATTTACATGGCAGACTTTGTAATTGAAAAAACCGAACGCTTCACTAGCGAGAAAACAGTTAAACAGACCATCTGCAGCGCGTGGATAAAGAATGAGCCTCCCCCATTCGGCCTCTTTACTCTCTCATGACTTTACTCCATTACATTCGTGGATAAGGAAATGGTGGAAACTCATTTCACTGAAGACATCCATTAGCCTACATATTTAATTGTGTTTGTTAAGCGCAAGGATTTGTTTCAAAACTTTTTCTAATTTCCAGCAAACAAATAAATAAATAAACAATCATTTTGAAGTATGGCGAAAAAAAAATGTTATATATAAACACATAAAATTCTCCCAAACCTGACAGGTGGACAAATCTAAACTTGTTTTTATTAAAACAAATATAAATATTCATATAAAAAAATATATTGCTAATAATAATAACATTATACAAATGCAAATTGTCATGAATTAACTGAAAAAAGCTCCCCTGAGATGAAGAAGGCATGGCGGTAGTGGTTTTTATATTTTTATAGAAATAATATTTTTTGTAACATTTTAATCCTTTAATTTTTTTCATATGTAAGTATATTTGTGTATTGCTGTACCTCCTGTGTGTGTATGTGTAAGTAACGTGCTCTGCTCTGGACTTTAGACCAGCTTTTAGGTGGTTGATGGCGTGGTCTATTTCAGTTCTTCAAAAAAGCAACGCACCACCAATGCGCCTTAACACACCTCCTTTTTTGGCCAGCACACAAATGAGTCCACATAGTGCCGCAAATGAATTTGATATTTAAACAATAAAGTGCAAAACGTGAAAATTACAGTTTCACTGGTCTGAAAATCGCAACATATTACGCCATAAACGTCTTGCTCCTTATTGCACAGTGTATGATAGGGTCCAAAGTCAGCTCTTGGCACTGTTCGTAGCTTTTAACACTGTGTTCTAAACCCTCTGTTTAAACTTAGGAACTATCAGGTTACATGGGTCTAGGAATGGGTTTTACATGGACTTAGTAATGTACAATGTGAAACAGCAGTTTGTAAATAAAGAGAATTGGTAAATCATAATGAAATATGGAGCAAGGTAACCCAGGAGTATATGGTCAACCATTTCAAGTGTTTAAAGCTCTATTATGACCTTTGCTGTGTTCAGGTGTTCCAGCTGGACGTACGAGAACAGGGTGCGATTGCTCTGTGGGCCCTGGCCGGACAATCTCTGAACCAACAGAAACTCATGGCAGAGCAGATGGGCTACTCTGTTATCCTTGACCTTCTTCTGTCCCCTTCAGACAAAATACAATACGTGGGTAAGACCAGATACAAATAGTGCACTGTCTCCCAAAAGACATCACCTAATTCCATCCAATCAATCAGTCACCCATGAATGTAAGTAACACTCTCGCTGCAAAGCTGTCGTCCAGACAGAAAAAGCACCAAATGCAATAAAAACAGCTTCCCATTGACTACGTGTTGACAGGCACTGGATAAACTAAGCAGATTGACTGCCTGAGCTTCTCCCTGTCACTGACAGAACAGGTCCGGTCCAGCAGGTAAACGGCCAGCACTTCCTGTCTTGAGACAGCAGTGATCTGTTAGACTCATAAGACAGGAAGGCATGCAAAGTGGAATGTTATTCCCCCAGTGGCTTTCTCCGTAAACATGGCTTACAAGACTGTCCCTGTCTCTTGTATTGCGATTAGTGTTAAGCTATGACCTGATTACAGGCTGTGATTCCAAAACGATGCCTAATGCCAAGAGTGCTTCCTTTTCAGGCAGGTGTCTGGATCGTGTCTCATCTGGACGGTCTGTTAAAACATTTGGTTAGACAGATGTTTCCCTTAAAAAATATTTTCAGACAGAGCTGTCCGCACCTTCATATGGTTACACGTTTGGAACAAATCATCCACCCCTCGGAGAACATTATCCACACGTATCTTGCTGTTTCGCAGGATGCCGAGCGGTGATAGCGCTTAGCCGAGACAGTCGTATCCATCAGAATGGCTTTTGCAGGGAAAACGGAGTGCCACCATTAGTGCGCTTGCTTCGAGGGTCTCGAACAGGACAGAAGACCCTGCTTAGTGTCATCGAAGCCTTGGGATGTTTGTGCATTGGTAGTGTTTCACATTTCTTTTAGTTATAAAAGGCTTTGCTTTACAGCTCAAGTTCTAAAACATTTGTTTTGTGGTTGCAGGAGTGGCGCTCACTACAAATAAAAACAGCCAGAAGACTGTTTACAGAGAACAGGCCATTCCTACTTTATTAGAGCTTTTAAAAGCACACAAATCTCAGGAGATCAAGGTGGGTACCAACTCGGAGGCTGGATGTTTTGGAGGTCACATACTTGGCCACTTTGGCCTATAGCCAACAACTAAAGCTAAAGTGATAGTTCGCCAAAAACTTTTTTGTTTTATGAATGATGTGTTCAGTCACAAATCTGTTTGAGTTGTTTTCTTTTGCTGAAAACAAAGAAATATTTTTAAAAATGCTTTTTTTTAAATGCGGAAAACTGGTAATCATTGACTCCTGTAATTTCTGTTTTTTCTACAATAGAAGTCAATGATTACAGGTTTTTAAATTTTTCAAAATATCTACTTCGAGTTCAACTGAAGAAATAAACTTATAGAGGTTTAAAACTAATTTGGGGTGAATAAATAGTGAGTAGATTTTAATTTTCGGGTGAACTATGCCTTCAAGCAGGGTCGAGGCAGGTCTGTACCAGGCCAGAACACTCCTGAGAAAGTTAGTTTGCTGCTGGAAGTGATGCCAGCATGGGGTGCTCACCATGGGCTCACAATTTCCTTTAGATGAGATGTTGTGTGTGGTGAGGGACCTGGTCCCATTCCTCTAAGGCTGGTGTTGCGTCATCCAAATCAGGGGTGGGCAAGTTGGAGATCCACAGTCCAACAATATAAATGAAAATTCTGTCATTAATGACTTAACCTCGTGTTATTTTTAATGCTCTGAGATTTTCAGAACACAAATTAAGTCATTTTAGATGAAATCCTGGAGCTCCCTAATCAAGAACATTTATTATATTGCATTTCTAGTTCAGTGGTGCAACTGTAATCATAAGAAGCTTCAAGAACAATTTTTTTGCACCAAAAAACTGTAAAAAAAATACATTTTTGTTTTCTCTTTCACTTCAGGGTGTGTAATTACTAAAGGCAAGGAGACATATTACCATTTGGGTAATTATTGCCCGTGGTAATGCTTTTTTGGTGCAAATATGATCTTAGAGCTTCATATGAATACAGTTAAACCACTGAAGTCACATGGAATGTTTTGAAAATGTTTTTGGTTCTTTTACTGGTCTTTGTTGTTATACTGTATATGGTAGATGAGGGAGCTCTAAGATTTCATCTAAAACACCTTAATTTATCTTCCAAAGATGAATGAAGTTCTCATGGCATTGGGACAACATGAGGGTGAGTAATTAATAAAACTGAATTTTTATTTTGGGGTGAATTAATCCTTCAGCTCTACAGTACAGTGGCCCTCCAGGACCACAGTTGCCCATCCCTGCTTTAGACTTTGAGTAGATTGTTGTGTTTGATTAGTGTTGGAGTCAAACTCTGCAGGACTGTTGCTCTCCAGAACTGAACTTGGCCACTCAGGTCTGGATGGATCCTGCACACTTGTGTTAATTGGGATGAGACCAAAATCTTTTGTCAATCTGTCATGACAGAATTTCCTAAAAGAAAATGTCAGGTTATATTTTGAAATGTTAGTATTGTTGGTCACTTTATTTTGATGATCCGTTTGTTGAATTTAGAATCATTGCATCTACATGCCAACTAATTCTTATTAGATTATAAATAGACTGTTAGGTTGGGGTCAGTGTTAGTGTAACTTAACATGTACTTGCAAAGTTTCTAATAGTCAGTTAAATGTCTGTTGAAGGAGCAGTATCAGTAGATATTAAGCAGACAGTCAACTAATACTCAAATGGACCATCAAAATAAAGTGTTACTGCATTGCTTAGTTTAGCCTTCATGCACTTTGAAGGCTGATGAAGGCTGTAGCTGTAGACAATTTTTGATAATGTAAAGAGACAAAAGCAGGAAATAACATCATTGATTTTTTTTTTTTTTTTTTTTTTATCAAATAAGGTGCAAGTAGCTCAGACTCTCGCTTGTGTGCTGCTGGGAAACCAAAAACTTCAAAGGGAATTTTGGGAACAAGAGGACTTCTCTTATGAGAACATTGTTGAGCTCCTAAATGCTGAAAATAAAGTAATTCACATTTTTACACTTGTTTATTTTACGCATTATGAATGTGTTTGTTTAAACGAAAAGCTGAGCAAGTCTTTTCTTTCAGAACATTTCTCTGGACGCTGGACATGCATTATCCCTGTTTGCATACAACAGCAAAGCACATCAGAAGGCGATACGACAACTGGGAGGAATTCCAGGAAAAATATATGAGACTTTTCTGAACTCTGACAATGAAACAGAAAAAGCAAAAGCTGCATTTCAGGTACTCTTCGGGAACATTTAGAATAAATGCATTGGGGTCCAAAGGTCCTCATTGAAAATGCTTCAATTATACATATTTTTCTTAACTTTAGATTTAAAAAAAATATCAATTGGCTTTGAAATAATAAGAAAGGTCTCAGACTGCTGCATATCATTGTACACTGATTTTAAAATTGAATGGTAAAATGGATGGTTCATGGAAAAATTAACATTTACTCACTGTTTACTCACAAGTGGTTTTAAACTTTTGTGTTTCTTTCTTCTGTTGAACACAAAAAAGATTTTTTGAAAAGAAAACTTGTAACTATCAACTTCCACAGTTGGAAATAGTATGGAGTTCGGTGGTAAAAATTTTCCAGCTTTCTTTGAAAGACCTTCTTTTCTGTTTAACAGGTTAAAGAAAGTTTGAAACAAGTAATGGGTGAGTAAATGACAACAGTTTTGGGGGAACTATCCTTTTAATTACAAATACAAAAAAGTGACAAGTAATACTGAATAAAAATCTCTAATTCTGAAGTACAAAGTATTTCAATATTTCTCAAACTTACTCTAACAATCGGTTTTATTTTTAGTGTATCAGGAAAAGTATTCATGGCGCTTCCCTTTTTCCACATTTTTTATGTTACAGCCTTATTCCAAAATGGATTAAATTCAGTTATTTCCTCAATTCTACACACAATACCCCATAATGACAAAGTTTAAAAAAAGACTTTTTGAAATTGTTGCAAATTCATTTAAAATTAAAAAAATCTTTTTTCACATTGTCATGGTATTTTGTGTAGAATTTTGAGGAAATCAATGAATTTAATCAATTTTGGAAAAAGACTGCAACATAAAACAAATTTGGAAGAAGTGAAGCGTTATTAATACTTTATGGATGCACTGTAACAGAACAAATGTTATTTTTTACATGGCATGCTCTTACTGTTAAAGAATTTACAATTGTGGGAAAAAATGAATGAAGGGCTGGTGATTTAATCACTCATTTAATTGACCTCTCCTTTATTTGACAGACAGTTGTGTTGGCTAGAGTAATCAGTGGGTCAGATGAAGTGACTTTGACTGCGAGGGGAGTAACTATTCTTGTTGAATTATTACAGTCTGACCAATCCACTACTGTGATCATTACAGGTAAAAAGACCTCCGAAGTTTAAGAACATTTTTCAGAGAGGATGCATGTAATTGAATTAAATCTTGTTCTTTTGAATTCTGAGGGTGATTAACTGCAAGTTGTTTGAACTATTGCTTTAAGCAGCACAACAGTTTGTTGCGTGCTAATCAATTAGTGTATAAGAAAACAAATGTAATAATATTTATGTCTACAGCACAACTTCTTGCTAGTCTTGCTCACATGAGAGCAGGTATTACTGATGCCATTGTCAGCATGGGTGCCACAGAGCATCTGTCTGCTCATCTGGATTCAGAAGATGAAGAGGTAGATCATGTTAAATTACCTTATGTAAATAATATTTCCAAATGAATTAAAATAAGGACTTAAAAGTGCAGTATGTAGGATTGAACTACGTATTGCAGTCCAAATTCATAAATAATGGAGAGTTTTTTTTAAACTGGGCCCTCCCAGAAACATGCAGGTTGCCAGATTGACAACACAAGCAGGAGCGAGTGTTCCTGACGATTGAGCCTGCTCAGTTGCTAATATTTGCTAATTAAAAACCACCTCATTGAATTTTTATATCTCTGAATCAGCATCTCATTTCACAAATCGCTTTTTCAGCAATACTTCAAGACTGATATGAAACATACTGTTTTTCCAACAAGGCAACCCAAGGTGGTGAAATATAAATAGGTTGTTTTAACATAACTTCATTGATGCGAGACTTCTTCTACATAGGAATCGCTATCAAAAGATCAGAATATTTCTGTTTTGTGTTGTTTATAATTGTTTAAATCGGCCAAAATCAGAAATGTCGAACAGCTTTCATAGACTTACAAAAGTTTTAGCTCATAAGGGGAGAAAGTTTAAGAGATTGACTGAAATAGAAGAAAAGGCGGCATATAATAAACATTTATTCAATACATAATACGTGCAATACATAATACGATGCTGTCAATACATAATTACGCTATAATTCGTTTGACAGCACCAGTAAAGATTATATACAGGCCTAGCTATGTGTATTATGTTTTAATGTAATCAGAACGACAGAGTCACTCGCTGTCTTCAAAAAACGACTAAAAACTCAACTATTTAGTCTCCATTTTCCTTACTAATCTGCAATTCCCTCTATGACTCCTCCGCTAACTACATAAAAAAAAAATACTACTGTTTTGCTTACACTTTCTTTACATACCTGAAACTTGCCTATAGCACTTATTCATAGTTGCTCTTATAGTTGTGTAAATTGCTTCCTTGTCCTCATTTGTAAGTCGCTTTGGATAAAAGCATCTGCTAAATGACTAAATGTAATGTGTTATATAAAAATCAGATATAAACACCACCATACTTTTGTACACCATACAAAATCTAGGAGAATATAAATAACGTACCCTACCATGTAATCGCTGTAATAAAATCTCTTTTTTTTGCAATAATCCATGTCTTTACTGGCGTTTCGGCAGAATAAACAACCGTAACGTTAAGGTCTATATGCGCAGCAGTGGTGAATGTTTGTTGATGGTAAATTCATTGACCGAACAAAATGGAAATGCAACCCTTGCCACAAAACTAGACGGTTAATATTGTGAAGCACTGTTTATCCCTAACAAAAATGTATAAATAATAATGTAGACTATGCGTTAATGCTTTTGTATGCTTTCTTCTGTTATTTCGTGATGTCTAGAACATGGGGGAAATACAATAGTAATTTATAATAAACCATATATTAAAGTGTATAATGTGTACAACTCTTTGTCAATGAACGCTACAGAAAACTGTAGCATAATAAACTGTAATAAATACTGTAACATTAGTGTAAACTGTGGTGCATTGTGATGGTGTATAATCATAGCGTAGAAAACTGAAGCCTGTTGAATGATTTGTTTATTACTACAGTTGTGTTGTACAACAGCAACAATATAATCACTACAGCAATTCAAGTAATTATTTATAGTATCTACAGCCTTGATGACAGGCAAATATATTTGAGTTTAGTAGAAAACTCAGCCCTCTTCATGATATAAAGATCATGCCCAACATATGTGGTTATTTTCTATTTATTTCTCCTTTGAAGTATGGTATAAATCGCAAAAATACGGACTTTCCCCTATGTCTCCCATTCAGTTTTTTACTCCATCTGAATTTCTCACCTCACTAAAACCACATGATTGCAAACAACCTATTGATTAAACTGGCTGTGGGCTGGTTATAGAGACCAAAACAAAGACGGACATTTCAGCACGGAACGCACATTTTTAAAGCACAATGTGCTTGTTAAGTGGTGACGTGTTTGTGATGTATGTAATACTGTTTCCGGGTCCAAGCCGTCATTCATTCGAGTGGAGAAATCATTCGTTTATGATCACGTTTTATTCCTATCACACATTAAAGTTAATTTTATATAGAATCATAGTGTACACAACAATCTCTGGGCTTGCAAATACCAAAAATTGAACAATTTATAAAAAATTCCATCACTTTCTGGCCATCGGATATTTGGCATGGACATATATATTGCGATCGTGATTTTCGAAACCATTAAATTGCTTTGTAGACGTTTATTATTACCATTTCATGAGTCTCATCATTCAGTTGAATAGAGCGCTTGGACCCGGAAGCCGCTTCGCGTGACGTCACACTTATCAAGCGGATAACTAATTGTAGCATTGTTTTTCAGATAAACATGTATGTCCACTTAGCATGATTCTTAAATATTTGCAAACATATTATACTTGTATGATTTAAAAGAGTCAAAAGCTTACATACAGCACCTTTAAAATAGTATTTCTAGGCTTTTTTTAACTATACTTTTCTTCCTGCATTTTAGGTTAGAACAGCTTGTACAAGCGCTCTGGGTTACCTGACCTTCAATCGTTATGCTCATCGACAGCTTATGACAAAATGTAGAAAATCCCCTCACATTTATGACCTCCTAATGAAGAATCTAGCTCCAGACGCTAGAATATCCCAATTGTTTACAGCAGAGTTTGAAAGACAGAGAAGAATAGGCTTTCCGTCCCTCAGGTACTTTAAATTTGGTCAGGAAGTAGCCGAATATGAGGCCTTTGATAATTAACTAGCATCATTTGTTTTCTTTCTGGTTTCTCCATTGCAGTTTGGGGATAAACGGCGGCCCTCCTGTGTCTCCTGGTAATAATAAAGGTATTTCAATTGACAGAGTGATATTGTGATTCTGGCTAAAACCGAGGAGTATATTTTACACGCAGCTGTTTGTGCTATATCATTTCTCACCAGGACCGTCGAAGAAACTGAACACTAGGGGTAGTCAGTCAGCAGTCGGCGAGAGGGAAACATCGGCTCCTTCAGTGCATCATGTAGGACAGAGGACCAAAAGCGCTCATCCCAAATTCAGACCCGGACGGACGCCCTGCCAACACTGAGGTTAAATGAAAATACCTGAAAAGCCCAGAACTACGGCTCTGCTGTTTACACCAAAAGGTGGCAAAAGCTGAAATAAAAGCGCATGCAAAACAGATACATATACAAGCTATAATTTATTAATAAGTAGGAACATGTTCCTACAACATGTCAAGAGTTTGTCCTAAGTTTTAATTTAGGAACTTTGATGGCAGCTTCTTTAACTTCTGAGGTGATGTCTAGTCCAAGTGGTGCCCTAAAAATAGCAAATGAAAAATATAATGTACAGACAGTATGAACAAATGAAAATTGAAACTTATAATTCTAATATTGTGCAATGCATATTTGAAATATTTATTATTCAGATAACAATTTGAGTGAAGGTATGTCTTTAAAAGAGATAGTTCAACCCTAAATGATAATATTGTTTTATTTAAAAAAAAAACATATTTTTTAGGTTCTACAGCAGAAACATGTCACTTACTTTTTGGATTGGGGTTAAGCAAATTAGCAACAGATTTATTTTTAGGTTATTAGTATATTAGATAGGATATAACGTGGTATGGCTAAAAAGTGGTTTGTGCCAAACTTTTAAAATCAAAATTAAATGCTTTATACATCAATTTTACGTCTGTAATTTTGTATATTTCTGAACGAAATATGATATTTATTAAGAAAAAATTGCTAAGTTTTAGACCATGATAGATATGAAGCAAATTAATAATTTATGAAAAAGGTTTCAATGACTGATAACTAAGCCCACATGAAATCTATGCGTGCAGAAATTTGCTAATTTTTGTGTCCATTCTTGAGTCTATTTATTTATGTAAATGTGTGTACATTTACAGTTGAAGTTTTTTGTTTTTGTTTTTTTAAATGTTTCCTAAAATGATGTTTAACAGAGCAAGGAAATTTTTACAGTATGTCTGATAATATTTTTTCTCCTGGAGAAAGTCTTATTTGTTTTATTTTGGCTAGAATGAAATCAGTTTTTAATTTTTTAAAAATCTATTTTAGGGAAAAAATTATTAGACCCTTTATTTTTTCGATAGTCTACAGAACAAACCATCATTATAAAATAACTTGCCTAGTTACCCTAATTAACCTAGTTAAGCCTTTAAATGTCACTTTAAGTTGTATAGAAGTGTCTTGAAAAATATCTAGTCAAATATTATTTACTGTCATCATGGCAAAGGGTTAGGATAAATATGGAAAATTATGATTAGGAAAATTATGATAAAATAAATCAGTTATTTGAGTTATTAAAATTATTGTGTTTAGAAATGTGTCGAAAAAATCTCTGTTAAACAGAAATTAGGAAAAAAACGGGGGCTAATAATTCTGACTTCAACTGTATATGGTATATTCAGTAATATTAGTGAATAATATGCAAATAGTTATCTAATTTATTTACAATAGTTTGTTACAATAGTCACAATAATCCTAGTCTAGTTTTTTTAGTAGATATGCTACAATATTCTGTTTTAGTAGATATATTATATATATTAGATATACTACATATAATATGGGAGACTTGCTGTAGCTTTTTTACCAGTCAATTGCATCTAATTGAATTTGTATTGTAAACCTTAAATAAAAGTTATTATGTTTTATTTCATGTTTTAAGTTTTGTTAGTGTTATCATACTCTCAAAATCATTTTTTTTCTGTGCAGAAATACCAAAAAATGTCAGCAGATTCTGTCTGGCTCTATTCATAACTAATAAATCATTCATAATAAAACTGTAATCATGCATTAAAAATATAAAACGTGCTATTTATTAACTACCAGAGCAAAAGCAATTTTAACTCACTTGGGTTCATAGCTGACTTCTTCAGAATAGGACAAGATTCCCTTTCCCTGCTTTAGTCTCTCTATGCCATTCCTAAAAACAAAAAAGTCAATGAGCAACACAAGTCAATGCCTTCTGCATATTATCAAGACAACGATGTTATGTTCTTACCATGCAATCATGACTCCATTATCAGTGCAAAACTTTGACGGAGGGCACAGTAAATGCAGCCCAGTGGCATCTGTGATGATTTTCAGAATCTGTCTGATGTATTCATTACTGGCTACTCCTCCTGAAACAATCTGTAGAGGAAGAGTTCTATTTATGCATGAGACTGAGTGAAATTTTTACCATACGTCTATGAAGGAGAACACATTCTTTGGTTGAAGTTTTCAGTAAACTTACCAGTGTCGGATTCTGCTCTGGCAGAAGACCTTTGGATTTGCAGAACAAAATGGCTCGATGTGTTCGTTTGGCCAAGTGAGATGCTACCGTGTGTTGTGAGGCAGCAGCAATGTCTTTTACACAAGATAAAAACTGTCCTGCTTCAACACCTGTGGAAAAATAGTTTGGCAGTACATTTAAATTTGATATTTTTATTGCAAATGTCAAATGTGAAGTAATAAAAATGAGTCCAACTAAGCTTGATAGTCGCAATTACTGATGCAAAGGGCTTCCAAAACGTTTGTCATTCTGAGAAAGCAATCCCATATTGCATTGTGACGAATTCAGTGAAAAAAAATAATCCAACCAAGACAGCAGATGAAGTAACATGAAGATTATTAATCTACAGTTGAAGACAAAATGATTCATCTTTTTCAAATATTTCCCCAATGATGTTTAACAGAGCAATGACATTTTTCACAGTATTTACTATTTTTCTTCTGTAGAAACTCTTATTTCTTATTGGTTTGAATAAAAAACAAATATTAATAAAAAAAAACCCTGCTAAGGTCAATATTATGGACTCTTTTCACATTTATGGGTTTCTCAGAAGCAGAAGTCGCCATTAATTGGGTAAAGTGAAGTGAATGGGAGAGTACAACAAATGTTTTTTTACAATCTTATTTGCTCAAATAATAAAAGAAATTCCACGATAATGAAATAAAAAATGTTGTGAGACTGATAACGACAGCCAAAAGAGAAAAATGTCAAATTTACTGTTCCACCCATAAACGTTATAAACAACCCGTGGTGTAAAGCGTACAGAAAAATCATACTCAAGTAAATGTACCATTACTTGCTTAAAAATGTAGTGCGAGTAAAAGTATCTGTTGTAAATATTACTCCAAGTAGGAGTACTCAATAGTAGTGAGTATTACGCTGTAAAAAGCAGATGCATTTACATGTATTTGTGGATGTGTGTAAACGTAACGTTCTATAGTGCATTTAGTTTAGCCACACAATGTCATAAGACATTAATATTAGGTTAGATTTAGGTTGTGATGTCAGGTGACCAAAATTCACTCACTACAGAATAAAACCTGCTCTTTTCATCTAAAATGAACAGATGATGTACCTTCTTCTTTCTCTTTTTTGTTTATTGCCCCTGTGATCTGTGTTCGCAAACCAGCAAATGAGAAATTGCAGTCGTAGTTCTGCCCCATTGGTGAAATGAAGTGAAACGCAAGTCGATCTCCTTCTTTTGCCAGTCGCTCGATGGCTTGTCCACCACTCAGAGTCCCACATTCAGGGTGATTCCTGAGAGAAAGTCTTCTGGCAATCTGTAATTTGAAAGGAAAGGTCTTAAAGGGAAAGTTCATCCAAAAATGAAAATTCTGTCATCATTTACTTGTTCCAAACCAAGTTGGGCTTCATTATTCTGTTGGACACAAAAGAAGATAATTTGCAAAATGCTGAAACCTGTAACCATCGACTTCCATAATATTTGTTTTCCTGTATTTGTGTTACTGGTTTCTAACATTCTTCAAAATATCAACTTTTGTGTTCAACATAATAAAAAAAAACTCAAAGTTCTGGAAACATTAGAAGATGAGTAAATAAATAGTGAGTACATTTTTGTTTGTGTGTGAACTATCCCTTTAAATGCATATTCACAGGTTTATTCAAACGCATTGCAATCTGATACCTTATCTAACGTGTCCCCGGCTGCTTCATCTAGAGTTTGTCCCAGAAGAAGAAACTCATCGATTCCTTTGGCCAACGCTAGAAGGGAATGACCTCCTGAGACAAGGAGCACAAGGAAAGGGAAGTCTAATGGATGCAGCATTCTCACGGTGAGGGCATGAGCCTCCATATGATGGATAGGGATGAAGGGCTTTTGGTGTTGTCTCACAAACTTCAGGCTGTAATCTAAACCAATCCCAAGACTGAGGGCAAGGCCAGGCTTTACTGTTGTTGCCACAGCTGTGAGTTCACTGGGTTCAATAGCACTTCTGTTAAGAGCCTCCTGGACCACTCTGGAGATGTTTTCTCTGTGTAGGCGTTGGGCCACTAATGGGATAATTCCACCCGTTCTGGAAGAGCATTATTAAGTGAACAACACACGCATAGCATGAATTAGAGTAAGTTTATACCGTTTCAGATTTTAGTTTAAAATATGAGGCAGATTGTATGTTTTTTTGGATTTTTCAGTCACCCTTTGCTTTAAAAAAAATCCTTTTTGAGAGTTTGCAGTCTAAGTATCTTGAAATTATAAGGGGTATTTTTTATCATGAACTACTCAAGGGAATGTATGTTGCTCTTTTGTGTGGATCATGATGATTAAAGTGCAGTTGCTGCCTCTAATATTAAATCACTGCAGATTCAGCCTGCGATAAAGCAAAGAAACAGTTTGCTCTGCAACATTTTTGCATTCATGAGCTTGTAGTAAGCTTACGAGCAAATTAAAGTGAAAAAAAGACTTAGAATCGATGATATATGATATACATGATATATTGTTATTGTGAATTCTTTATATATATATATATATATATATATATATATATATATATATATACATACATACATATATATATATATATATATATATATATATACATATATATATATATATATATGTATATATACATATATATATGTATGTATGTATGTATGTATGTGTATGTATATATATATATATATATATATATATATATATATATATATATATATATATATATATATATATAGTTCACAGTTCATAGTTCATATACATATACATAGTTCACAGTTCATAGTTCATATTCATATTCACAGAATTTCTACAAAGTATGTTGTATACTGCAAACTCGCAGACTTTTTGGGTCACATCTATAACGCATGAAAAAACTAAACAAAATATAATTGGTTTAAGTACTAAAACAGAAATAAAAATAAGACAGCTAAAACTAAAATAACTATGACAATGAACAATAAATTAATTATTGTTAATTAATCAATTGTTAATTGTAATTAATAATTTAATTAATAAATAATAATACAAACTATTAATAAATGCTGTTATAATATAGTAATATTAATCAAATACTGTTTGCGGTATATATTATGTATTTTTGGTGAACTCAAGAACATTGAAAATCCTTTAAATTATTGAACATGTTATTTTTGCATGTTTTTGTAGCAACTGAGGAGTTTTCTGAAGGCTGTGACTACTATACTTACTTCAGGTGTGTCTCTTTCTGAGAATGCAGAGATTCACCCAAAATCCTCCCGGTCTCGTCCAGCACCGCCGCCCCGGTCTCATCGCAGCTCGTCTCGATCCCCAAAACTAACCTGGGTCTCGTTGAAGTGCTGAAGACTCTTCTGCTCCAGGACCGCAGAGCTCCAGGCAGACAACTCTGAAACATGCTGCTGTTAACACCGATAGTAGAGCACTTACTGACTGCTTCAACAACAACCTGACAGGTTAGATACGCTTTAACAATTGGGGAAAACTGGTGTTTCTTGGACCATTTTATTCGTTTTAGGAGCCTGTATGAAGAGAGAGGTTACATATAAACACGTCCTACTTACAGCAGGTCAACTTGGGTTCCGTTAGATTATGTTAGATATTTTTTTTCAATATTGAATAAATAACTTTAAGTCTATGGTATGTTTGAAGAATGAATAAATATGCTAATCATAATATCGTTGTTTAAAGTATAAGTAAAGTTCAACACGGGAACCATTATCGCTTACGCTTGTTTCGAGTAGGAAAATAATACAAGAGGAACGAAAGCTCACATGGAAGAGATGTTGTATTCTGAAGTACTTTGGCTGCTGTAACATTGTTTTTATAATTATTATCACTTGTTTTTTTGGCATAGTTGACGTCCACTGCTTTTTCCAATAAGGTAACTTAATGCTCTATTGTACCGCGTCCATGTGTTGTGTTTAGAAAGTTGACAGTCTGATATGGACAAACACTATGGACAAACACAGAAATACATAATATATAGATTTTCTTTGTTAAAAATAGAATTATAATGGGTAACACTTTACTTTGATGGTCCATTTGAGTATTAGTAGACTGCTTAATATCTGTTGATACTGCTCCTTCAACAGACATTTAACTGACTATAAGAAACTTTGCGAGTACATGTCAACTTACACTAACCCTAACCTAACAGTCTACTTATAATCTAATGAAAATTAACTTAGTTGGGATGTAGATGCAGTGTAACTTAAAATCAACAAACGGGCCATCAAAATTAAGCGTGACCTTATAATATGACTATAACATATAGTTGAAGCAAGAAAATGACATATACAGGATTTCTATATTATTTATATAAACGTTAGATGCAAATAAAGTGTCCACTTTTGTGAAGTAAGCTTTTTCATAAGTATAATGTTAAAATATGGGTTAAATGATGTCTCGTTGTCATAAACGTAACAAATGGTTTATCTAAAGATGAAATAACATACTTATTCTGACCTGTACTTATTAAAATATCTAAAATAGTAAGTGATAAAAATACATTGTATTAGATTTAAATGATTTGTTTTGCTTTCAAATGGTATTGGTTCACTGAATGTCTTGGAGTGCATGTATTTAATCTGTATTTTTTTAGGGAAAAAAACAAGATGAAACGGGACATTTTAATGCACAGGTGTCAAACTCAGTTCCTGGAGGGCCGCAGCTCTGCACACAGTTTAGTTTCAACCCTAATTGAACACACCTGATCCAACTAATTGAGTCCTTCAGGCTTGTTTGAAACCTACAGGTTTCTCAGGTCAGAGTTTACCAAGCTTGCAAACCTGCGAAACTTAAGGCATGACCCTGCGTTTCTGGTATGACGCATTCACGTGCGTATGAATGGAAGTGTATGGGAGGAAAAGCCCAGTGTGACCGCAGCTTAAAGCTGCAGTCACACTAGAGTTTGTGCGTGCGAAATTCTGTCGTACAGCTTCTGATGTAAGGGGCAGGATTAAACAAGATGATTAGACATTAAAAAAGAGAGAGAGATAGAGAGAGAAAAGATCTGCGAAACTTGACACACAAGCTTGCGTTTCCAGTCTGAAGCGTTCGCCTGCATATGAATGGAAGTCTATGGGGAGAAAAGTCCAACGTGACCACAGCTTCAGTGTGTTGAAGCAGGGTTGGAACTAAACTGTGCAGGGCAGCGGCACTCCAGGAACTAAGTTTGACACCCTTTCCTTCAATTATTTTAAAATCAAGTATTGCAGCCTTCATTCAAAAGTCTCTCATTTGTAATATGTGAGCATTTTTACTGTACAAAATTTGTCTGTGAACTAAATAAAATAATCATTTATTCATCAAATCGAGTTTAAATATGCAATAAATCGAGATTTAGATTTTAAACCAAATCTCCCAGACCTAGTATATAATAATACAGTTTATACTGCAAAATAATTGTTCTGTCCTCATTATCAGTTAAGATACATTTCTGTATTGAACCTGAGTCAATTTGGAGTCTTAAACTCAGGTTTCAGCAGGGTGTTTTCACACCTCTACTTTGGAAAAAGTCAGAAAAGTGGGTGTGTCCAGCTTTGTTTAGGGGGGAGTGTCGGAGGAAGAAAAGAGGCATAATGTGGGAGCTGACTTTCAGAGTCAAAACACACACACACATAGGGGACGAAGTGACTGTGTTTACATGGACATCTGTAGTCGAATTATTTGCCAAATTATTAAATAGTGGACTTTAACTGCAGTTTGGCTCTTTCATTCAGGGAATTCATTCATGTCCCTCGCGACAAACGAGATATTTGATTCGAGGAACTGCTGTAAGCGTATATTTTTCATGCAATGTTTGATACCGCACAGCAAATAAGAGAATAAACACCCTCCGCATTTAACGGAAACTTAGATGCACTCGGCAGGTAGCGTCAGAAAGCCGTTTGTGTTATTCCGGTCACAAATGCGGTGAAAATCCTACATGAGGTAAAAGTTTGGTTGTGGTGCTAACATGTTTACACTCGGTGCAATAGTTAACTTAGATACGAACAAACTGAATAAACAGAGAGCACTGGTCACTCACTTACCAAATCTGTAGAGACAGGACAATCACCAGCAACTAGAGCCGCGTCTTTATTAAGAGGAGACTACAAGAGATCCGGATCTCAGCGTTTGCAGATGAGAACAGCTCTCAGGTAAACAATAATCCTCCTTAGACATGTAAGTTATTGTTGTCGAGCGTCGCGTACACTGTTAATCCACACGTGACTCCAGCTGCGCTCTCACAGAGAGAAAATGAAAACAAAACTTAACTGCAGCAAACTATAAAAGCAACACTTCATGCTTGTTTTGCCAACACAATGTAGCGTCTCTGTCGTCTAAACACTCTGACAGTAATGAATATTAATGAAGTTGCACAATAGAGCGCGCTGATTGGTTTGAACCAAGCTTTACTCATGCATTAATGCATCACACTGTAAGACGTAATAAGACTCACTCTGGCACAGATGTCCAGTCTGCACGCTGGAATACAGGCTATTATGTCATGGTCGTGACGCAGCTTCAAAAGTTTGTTTCAAACCAGAAGTACGAATTTGCTTGAAATAACGCAAAAACAACCAATTTACACTTTTTAGTGAAATATAGGTGTCCTAATAGTGTTTTTAGCAGTGTGGGACACATATACGACTGTCAACAGCTCAAAAAATGTGTTTTGGTGTTTCGTGACCCTTTAACGTTGTCATCATGTTTCTGTGTCTACAGATGACTTGTGGAAAACCCTGATGATCCAGATTTCAAAAGGATGGAGCCCCAAGCCAAACGGAGAAAAGAAATGGACGACTATGATGACACCTGGGAGGTTCTTCCAGTTCTCTCAGATGAGCAATCCCAAGACCCTGAACTATTACCAGCCTACGCAGCGCCAATCCTGGAGAGAAGAGAAACATCTCGCCTGGTAAAAGAGCTGTCGCTGATCCATCCTTTACCAAACCTGCAGCACATCAAAAGAGTAAGACCTTGCAAACACAAAGACAGCCCTCATCCCTTAGAGGTCATTGTGTGCTTGGTCAGTGACGTCCAGAGCACAGACCCCAAAAAAGTCACACTTTCCCATCTGCTCCACACACAATGCTTCAACTCCAATGGTTTAGGTGACCCTTTTATTGTCCAAATACCTGCCAATCCTCCGCTGACCAGACCACAGTTCGAAAAAGCAAGTAAACACTGGCCGACATCATTTCACGAGGACAAACTGGTGACGTTTGCTCTGAAAGGCCAGTTATTTACGGCTCATCAGAAAACTAAAATGCGGGAATACATGTGTGTGGCTGTGAAGGCTGCAAAATCAGGTCGGGAGTTGGGAATGGATGCGGTGGGCGCTGTGATCGTCGATCCTAAAACCGAGCAGATTATTGCCGTCGCTCATGACTGTAAGCGTGGATCTCATCCGCTCCATCATGCCGTCATGGTCTGTATTGATCTTGTGGCCTGTGGGCAAGATGGAGGCGCTTATAAATATGAGAAATACCCAGCGTGTCGGTTTAGCTGCTCTAACAGTGTTTGCGATGGAAAGGAAACTGGTTTGCCATACATTTGTACCGGATATGATCTGTACGTCACCAGAGAGCCCTGTGTGATGTGCGCCATGGCTCTGGTTCATTCACGAATCAGCCGAGTGTTTTATGGAGCATCCACTGCAGACGGGGCTTTTGGGAGCAGGTATAAAATTCACTGCCAAAAAGATTTAAATCATCGATTTGAAGTGTTTAAAGGAGTGATGGTAAATGCGTGTGAGGATTTGTGTAAAGAGTAATTTTTTATTTTTTAAATTTTTTTCTTAAGAGGTGATATTAAAATTGATGTTTTAATTAGCAGTTTTGTAACTTCCCCTTTTTTAAATGTGTCCACAATAAAAAAAAAATACAGAGGATGCAATGATTGTTGTCTACTTTTAAGTAATGTATTCATTTTTTAATTTTAGTTTTGTTCTGCAAACTACTGATGCAAACTGACTTACAAAAAAGAAAGCTTCACTGAAGTATTTCAAACAGCAGACACTTTATTTGCATTTGTTATGTATAAAAATAATATAGAAATCCTACAGAACATTTAGTTCCTTCAACTATACGTTATATGCATATTATAGTTATATTTTTAACAACACATATATATTACAACAATATAATATATATATTGTTTTTAATTTATTATGTACAACTTTAAGGTCGAAATTATTAGCCCCTTTAAGCTCTATTTTTTTCTATATTTCCAAAACAAACCATAATTATACATGGTTATATGTAATAACTTGCCTAATTACCCTAACTTGCCCAGTTAACCTAATTAACCCAGTTAAGCCTTTTTAATGTCACTTTAGGCTGTATAGAAGTTGAAAATTTGAAGTTGAAACTTGAAAATATCTAGTAAAATATTATTTACTGTCATCATGGCAAAGATAAAATAAATCAGTTATTAGAAATAAGTTATTAAAACTTGTATGTTTAGAAATGTGTTGAAATTTTTTTTCTCTCCAATAAATAGAAATTGGGGGAAAAAATAAACAGGAGGGCTAATAATTCAACTGTGTATATCTAATTAACATGTTTTATAGAGCATCCACTGTGGACAGGGAATAAAATAAATAAAGCTAATGAAATTGTAATCACATCGCAATATATATATATATATATATATATATATATATATATATATATATATATATCGCAGAAATACAAAATATCACCATGTTAGATTTTTTTCAACATCGTCCAGCCCTAATTATTGTTTTTTTTTTTTCTTCACAATGTTGACTCTCCGCTAAGCTACACCCGAAAACCGACACACACCAATCGTGGCTTAGCAAACATAACTTTGCGCGGGAAGTCTGTCAAGCTTTCGAGTGTGGGAAACAAGCCAAAGCATTGTGCAAATCTGATACCCGTTATCCTAAAAGTTTGGACAGGGTGGTGGAATTTTTTTCCCTTTTCCAAAACCTAAAACCCAAGAGGAGAAATGCCAGTGTGGATCAAGCTGTCTGGACACTGTCACACACTGTCCATGTTTCCTCGTTGGTTAGTAACGATTTATTTCCTTGCACAACAATTAGTCTGTCAGACTTTTTGGCAAAAAAAGAGAAATCATGTTTTAATTTGTTATTATTAGATTATTTTTCAATTTCACCTCTCCTGCTGTGCGTGAACTGAGCTGTTAAATGGTCAGCGTGCGAGTCGCTAGGCTTTAGCTTCAATTTTAAATTATTCTCTAATCGGTTGCGTATTATGTCGGGAATATACCCGTTATGCATACTGCAGTCCTTTTTTGTCTGGTTTTCTCAGGTATCTTACCTGTTCACCAAAAATGACTACTTGTATACCTAAGAATGTCTGACACCGGCGCATACACATTGTTATAGATGTGCCAGGCATGGAAGCTTGACAGGCCTAACAACAGTAACAAAGGAGGGGAGCCGGGCTTAGCGAAGGGTCAATTGCTGTATTTATGATACATTTCCAATGAATTTAAAATAAAACTGAATTATTAAGGTGAATTCAGGTCATTTGGGACACTTTTTGCCATTGATAGACCAAGTAAAATGATCCCTATTGACCTGAATTCACCCTAATATTTAGTACACAAGAAGTGTACATGCTTTACACCAGTGTATTTCACACAATGGACAATAGGGTTGCTAATACTTTGCAAAGGTTTATTTGCTTGCAGCATGTCATACAACAGATAACATACTATGTTCATACCTTTTCTCAAAACAAAAGGGCAAAACAATTGGCACAGTTGAGGCTTTGCAGATATCGTCAAAAGACAAGATGATGGAAGGATGCGAACTGTTAACAGGTCTATGTTACAGTTTGTCAACTTCAATAATACTGTGACAGAAAAGAGTAAAGAAATATGATAGTTTGCTGAAGCTTGGTTCTGATCTGGAGTTTTCTGATCACATAGTGACACTTTGTGTAATCGACTCATTCTGATTAGAACTGAAAATACAACAACTTTGGGAAGAACTTGAAGTTTTGTTTTAAGGTAAAAGGAAACTTTTCAAAAAGAAAATTTTGGAAATAATGCGCACTGATAAACAGTTCAAAAAGAGACCAGAGAAATAAGATGTATTTTTAATTTCACTTCAACTTAATGCACTTTAAATCTGTTAATCTTATTAAATTTTCACTGTCACTTAGAAGCTGTAAGACATTAACCAAACAAAACTATACACAATATTGTGAACAAATAGTTTTCAGGAAATCATGCAAATTTAGTTTATTATTTGTCATCTCTGAAGCAATGAAAACATCCAACAAAACTCAAGAAACAGCAGAAAGGTTTCATGGCTTGTAAATGATTTTAAAAACACATTTTTTTCAACTCATGGCATTATTTAAGAACATATTCAGAAATGTGAAGTGACGCTAAAAGCATTAATCAATTTCAGTGTATCAGTGTTGTGAACACATTTGAACAAACAAAAACTAATTAACGAAAAAAATAACTTCAACCATGAAACCTGGGCCAGCCCAGATCCACGAGGATCACAAAACAACTAACAAAAACACATTAAATATCTTAAGTTATTAATGCTTGCGGAATTGTCCTCCTAACGTATCCCTACAACAATTTCTCAAGATATATCAAACAAAGAGACTCACAAATTACACGGACTGTACAAAACTGCTAAGTGTACACAACTGCGGTACAAAGTACAAAGGGTTATCAACAACATTCCCATATCAGGCAGCAGCTCCCAACTGGTCTGTGCCCTCTGAACATTGGGATTAATACTTGTTTATTCCAAAGATCCGCACTCCGTGGAGCTGTGGCAATTTGGGGATGAGAACGCTCAAAAGCGAAGCTGTGTTTATCACAAAATGAGCTGTGTCATATTTTGTGTAAAAGCTGGCAAGAAAATATCTGCAAGGAAAAGAAGATCAAAATCAGTAAAGGAACTTGCATACTACGAGTGCTGTTAAATGATTAATCCTGACTAATACATCCCAGGATCATTAAAACATCTGTGCACAGATAAATGCACAGATTTCCACATATTTTTAAGCACATAATTAAGTTTATTTATTTACTAGTGTAAATGTGTGTAAAACTACATTTGTTCAGTTTTTTTTATTAATTTCTGTAATAATATTGACATATGAAAATGTTCATTTGATTCATTTACAATACAGTTTGTAAAGTAATATTTTCTGTATTTTAGTATACCTATAACAGACTTGCTTTGTTTATCAAATAAACAAAACATTACCAACATTAAATAAAACTTAAGTTATTAATTTATTATATATATTATGTTTTTAGTTACGATACTCCCAAAATCATTCTACATAAATCAGATTTTTACTAAATTCTGTGCAGAAATAGCAAAGAAAATGTTCGCAGATTCTTTATTGCCATAGCCTACATTTATGGGAAATGTAAAATAGTTTGTCCCGGGCACATTTAATTGCACATTTTAGATGACAAATCCACTAGAGGGCACTGTCTACATTTTTGCTAATCTAAAATGCATTTTTTAGGGTACATTTTGTTAAACGTGCGAGTACACGTCCTTTTTGTGCACGTCCATGAGAAGGCAGGGTTAGTAGTACAGATCAAGCGAATCACTGACTGTAACCCAACCAATAGTGTTTTTAAAATGTAAGATAAAGTCCATCGCAGCCATTTAGGCTTTTTTTTGTAAAACCATGCTTCAACAGACTTCAACCCGAGTGGTCTGCATCACAAGTACTAACCATACTGGAAAAGTTGTCCATATGGAGATAGAAAAACGAGGCAAACATATCTAATTACGATGCCGTGAAAGTGTTTTGTGTTTGTTTTTGGTGTTGTGCAAAGAACTGCACAAAAGTAATGCTTTATTCACCGATAATACTGTATGTGCCTGTTCATATCATTATTGTAAAAAGGAACAAAAGCTGCTGGTGTCATCCAACCCCGTAGCATTCACTTTACCTACAAACTGTCATCAAATATATGTTTATGTACATTTTTTGGGCGTTTTCACAAAAATGTAGGCTGAAGCACATATTTCCAACGAGCCTGTGTTGGACTAATTGCATGTATTATGTATCCATGTTTATACAACAGTTCTGTCTGGTTCTCAAATCTGATTGGCTGATAGCCGTGCGATATTCTGCAATATCAGAACTCCTACAGCCTCTTTACCCTTTGTGTATTACTCCACCCACATACAGCCAGTAAAAAGCAGACACAACAGATCTATAGTTTAAAAGATGCTTGCTCAGCTGTTTAACTGTCAGCTTATGATTTGAATCTGGAAGAAAGTAGTTCCTCATACAAAAGGGTTTTTGAGACTCTCCATGTTTGATTTTGTTTTCATATACACAATTATGCCGTCGAACTGTTGTATAAACGCAAAATCACACTCGTAGCAGTGCGATATGGCTTTATATCGGCACTGGTGGGGGCACTAAGGCACTCCTCCCAACGCACACCTCCCATCAGTGCCGATATACAGCCATATCGCACTGCTACTCGTGTGATATTGCTCATATATATCTATATACATATATAGAATTTTTTTAATTTATATTTATGTATGAATAATTTTTATAACAAAAATTCTAAGTATACCTGTCACCCTTTGTAAGTATATAGACATTAAAGTCTGTGCATTTATATATACATAAATATACACGCACTCACAAACAATAGCTGCTTGTTCAAAATGAGCTGAAAAATCATAATTATTGCTTTTTTGTGGACAACTTAATTGTTTTTACAAATTTAAGTGGATTCAACATGAAACAATTAAGTTAACCTAATTGATTTCTGTTTAAACAACATGAATGAATTGTGTGGAAGCCTGCATGTTTTACAGTGCAATACACACATATAATATGTAAATAAAAACATTTATTTTGCATGTGATTTGCATTTAATCATTAAACAGCATAATAATGCATTTATTATGCTTTTCTGGATATCAGCTTTTATGTAGGGTGGAATGTAAAGGGTCTGCAAAGTTTTAATGATGAATAATGCATAACTGGGGCAATTTTAAAGGGATCATTAACCTACTTGTTCTAAGCCCGTTTGCTGTTTCTTCTGTTCAACACAAAAGAAACTATTTTGAAGAATGATGGAAACTGATCAATGGATAATGGTTTCCAACATTCTAAAAAAATCTTCATTTTCAACAACAAAAAAAGATACTCATACTGAATGTTTGGAACCACTTCAGATGAAGGTGAGTAAATGGTGAGTGAACTCTCCCTTTAACATTTTTTTTTTATGTGAAAAGCAGTATTTCCTGTATTTAGTGTAAGATACTGTGCAAAAATGTACACAGCATCAACTTACAAAATGATTGGTGAGATTGTAAAGAATTTTCTAGATGATGTGAACTGCACGCCGTAGTCCAGCTGTTCCCAGTGTGTGAGAAGTCTTGCCTTGCCCTGGTCTGGAGTTTCAAATGGTGTGCCTTTCACTGCATGCATAAACACATACATACCCTGCGGAAACACAGAAAGATGATCTAAATGTCATACAGGCTATTTGAAAAGATTAGAACAGAGGGACCTGTTAATGTTAAGCTTAAAGGAACAAATCAAGAATGCTTTTGCACACACAAAACAACAATGAACCATCAAAGCCCTGAACTTATGGCCCGTTTCCACTCAGTAACCTACGGTAAGGTTCGGTATGTTTTTATGGCCATTTCCACTGTCAAAGGGTACCAAAATGCGAACCGTACCAATTTTTGGGTACCCTTTTAAAAGGGTTTCAAGCAGGACAAATGGATACCAAAAGGCGGAGCTAGATGAGCAGCTGAACGATATTGGTTTACAGAGACACGTCACCAGCGCATACACAAGCAGATGAATGAAAACATAGGAATCGCCATTTTTAAAATCACAGCCGAGACATTACATTGTTATAACATATACATTTAGTTCCTTTTTGGGCCTTTAGGTATCTATGGACCCTTGCTGTATATGAGGGATGAAAGATTTATAAATAAATAAATCTTTTTAGGAATCTTTAAAATATCTAAGTATATAAGATGTTATCCAAGAATGACCAAAAGGCCAACATAAGTCATTAATAACAGAATTTTAATCTTTGATTGAACTAAACCTTTAAGACAAAATATAAACAAGCCTCAAAATGTGCCTTTGCTAATTACATTTTGAAAGATCTGGTGGTCAAAATTGATCAATAAACAATGACCTAACCTGTAGCTTTACCTCATGAAAAGCTATTGTATGATAACTCCCATGTATGAAAACCTACTACGCTTATTAAATTAGTTTTCCATGTCAGGACAACAGACACATCGCAGTGTCCCTATGAATAGCCTCTCTTTATCATTGTGGCACAAGCCGTCATGCATCATCATGTGCCAGCGAGCTCTAACTTGATTGCTGATGTCATACTGTTGACCTTGAATCTTTGTGCAAGAGCAGTCTTATATAACAATGCCACGCAGGCTACTAGGGAAGCATCAATTGTCAAGACTCGGGCCACTGCTGAGAAAATGACAACCCATGCACAGGGGAATAAGACAGGGCATATAACAAAGGATTATTCAGGACACTTACAAAATTGTGAATAACGTTTGTGAGGGTCCACACAACAGGAACACTGAAGAAAGGAATGCTCAACAGTACAATGTGAAGCATTCCGACGCCGAGCGCGTATGTCAGCCATATCCCTCGACTGTTCATCACACGGGTATTTGGGTTCACTTCGCTGTGGGCCACGCCGACATTCATCTTGCTTTTCTGTGGACAGACCAATTAAACAGTAAATTACAGCAGTCTAAAATGTCAAAATGGAAATATAAAGTCAAGCAATACAAAAGAATGCATTAGTGGCTGCCCACTTATTAAGTTTCAGAAGGATTTTTTCCACGTTCGTTTTTCACATAGGAGTTAAAAAAAGCCTTTGTTTGAGTGTTATAAGCCGCGGATCAAACATACTTATACTATGCCCTAAAAGTATGCACTTTTTTTTGTAAAGGAAAAGTATATACTTTTGAGTTTGTAACAGAAGAGTATGCAAGCTTTAGGACATATTACTACCTCGTTAACAAATTATGCTGCTTAGTTAAGTCCCCTGTCAATCATCTCCACACATTATCCACATTTCTTTCATATTTTATTACAGATCTTACAGGAGAAGCAGCAGCAGCAGGATAATCTACCATTCGCGAGTCTTTCATGCAGAGAAATCTCCTCAGGTCTTTTGGTAATTATGCATTCAGAAGTTAATGTCCAAACATATCTTGATACGAGTTCACGTTGTTGCAGATGAAATGTAACACAGAAAATGCAGTTTAAATATCTTCTAGTTGGATAGATTAGATATTGATTAACAGTCATTCAAACAAATTTTCCCAAACCGCTCTACTTGACAGTTGGGCTGCGTCCGAAACCGCATACTTCCATACTATACAGTACGCTAAAATCAGTATGTGAGCCGAGTAGTATGTCCGAATTCATAGAATTCGAAAAACTGTGCGAGAAGTACCCGGATGACTTACTACTTCCGGCGAGATTCTGGAGTACGCATCCCATGCACGCTGCGCTATCCCATGATGCCCCGCGAGCGAACTGATGAATGGGAGTAAAGCGACGCAAATTACGCAGGTACGTCACGTGACTATGTCAAAATGGCGGATGTAGTACATCCAAATTCCATTCATACTTTTCACATTCATACTGTATAGAACACACTTTTCTAACGGCTGAGTAGTACGTTTAAATTCAAATGCAGTACCTACTGAGTAGTATGCAGTTTCGGATGCAGCCTTGGTCTCATGGTCTGCCATGTTTTTGGTTTGTTTACACTTTTTACCCGAGCTTGTAGTTCTAATCAAATTCACGTCCAACGTGCAATGTACTGGGCAATATCAGCGGTTAGTGTATGGATGCCTCTACATTTCAAATTTTCACCGGAAATATTAAACCATCCGGGAACCTTTGGCATACTCTTTTTTTTTTAACATACTATGGCTTTGGAAATAGTATTCAAGAATAGATTAGTATTTAGGATGGATAGTATGCAAATTGGGACGCAGCATGTGTACATAACGAGGTAAATGAAGAAAATTCTATTAAGCGCTGCAAATTACAATGAAATTTGAAACTAATAATTTTAAAGTCAATATTGCAATATCCTTATATAAATACAATATATTTCAAGTTTATAGCAATATAGGCATGCCAGGGTATCTGCAGGGTCTGAATTTGCTGCTGGAATCAGCTTTCAGAAATGATCGGATGTGCTCCAACATTAGGCACGTTCAAATCAAGACTGAAAACACATCTGTTCAGCTGTGCCTTTACTGAATGAGCACTGTGCTACGTCCTACAGATCGCACTATTGTCTTTCTTCCCGCTTCATCCTTTTATAACCTGTTTTAACACATTTTAACCTGTTTTTAAATCATTCGTTTCTTATACATGTCTCTTTTACTCCCGTGTATGTAAAGTGCTTTGAAATAACAATTGTGTATGAAATGTGCTATATAAACTTGCCATGCCTAAATTAAAACAAAATTTTAAACCTTAAGTTTTAAATTCGCTGAAATATCGTGTTGTAGGTCTTAAATCATTTTAAACAGGTCTTATTTTCCTATTTTCAAGTAAAGCTACCCAATTTGGCTAACACCCATCCAATCACTAACATTTCATCTCATTAAAAGTTTCAACAAAAGATTATTTATTCATGTAACTTCCCTACAATAACATTTGTTTTAATGGCTATTTAAATATTTTAACAGGGCCATTCGAAAAACTCCTCAGCCTTGTGTAAGTGTAATTTCATTCATAATGGTTCTAAAAAGGTCTTAAAATGTCTTAAATTTGACATGAAACCTGTTTCTACAACCCTGGCATGTAACAATTGATTGGTGAAATTTTTTGTGCAGCTTCATTGGTAATGTAGTTTTCTGCACAAATTCTCCTACATCGTTGTATTACAAATATTAGTCCTTCCAGTTTTTTTTCATGTATATTTGTGGCCTAAAATTACTGATTGTGTCTCATTTTTTTCTTAAAACTTATAGCATTATTTGCCATAGTTCTTGTGTTTTTCTGTGGATAATAATAAACACAGAAAATAATAAATAAATTATTTTTTCCCTCAAAACCCACATTGGACTTGCAAAATACTGGAGGGACTAAAATATAGTGAAATTGATGTGAACGGGTGGATTTAACAGGAAATATACCATTAACAACCTCAGACCTTACAACATATCTTTAAAGGTTTATTAGGTATTGTTAAAAATCAAACACTGTATAGCAATTTCAAACTTCCAGATTTTTGTGCTCCATAATTCTGCATAGTATAAAAAGCTGTTAAATTAAATTTCAGACATTAAATGATAAAACAACAAAATAAAAACAACAAAAAAATTAACTATTAAAAAAGGGTATTTGAGTGGTTTTGTTTTCTCTCTTAAACATAACTAACAGCAATATGTCAGTACACGCAAATGTTTGGTAAGCTTCTCATTAGCTGCAGATTAGTTAGCTGATGCTTTAATGCCATGCAAGCTTCCTTTGCTATTTTAATGCTGAGTAAGAAGAAAATCTCCAAAACAGACTTAATGTTCACTCTAAAATCTTCTTATAAAATGTTTGCCATCTTAACCTGATTTGTTTATATAGAACCTATTCAAATTATTAAATGTATTTTTGCTATCTATAGGGGATTGATTTGAAGCAAAAGCGGTCAGTCTTTAAAATTGGGTTTACTAGTTCTTTCATAGATGTTTTATTGTTCTAGTTAAGAGTACAGCTTGACAAAGTCTGAATGAGGTCTCGTCTATATGCCAACAAAAGCATGTTCATGCACTTACAATAGACCGATTCTTCATAGGATGCTCTATTACTGTTCACGTCGGCTAAGTCGTCCTCACATAATTCACAACAATTCGGTTTTTCTTTGGAACAGCAAAAGAGGTGGAAGTGACATTTTATGGCATGTTTGCTTTATCTGGCATGGTAAGCGGTTCAAGCAGCTGCTCGAAAGTCAAAGTTCAATGTTACCTAATATTAAGCTCATTTGTTTGCTTCTTTCATATCAACTTATCAATCAGTTGCAGAAAAGCACACACAAACACTATTATTTGATCTGATATTTCGTACAATATATATGCATTAAAATAAAATCAGAGGTCAAAGGCTAAAGTCCTGCTACACTTAATCATGTCAACACATCAAATTATCTCTCTCTGATTGTGTAATACATGTTTTAATATTTCTATAGACAACAACTCAGCAATTGAACAGCAACAGTGTTGTATAGCTCTTACTTATAAAAAGCCTGTTGCAAATAACACAGCCAGCAAACATTTATTTAACGTTTATTAAATGTTACATACAGACTCGTGTTGGTTTTGCATCAGCAGCTGGAGGAGATAAACAAGTCTATGACACACATAGAGTTAGCAGCTGAGCTACACGACAAAACACTGCATTTTCTAGCACAGCTCACAATCTAACCACTTACAATAACACTGTTTAAACACGCTTATCCCCGCATGTGTCCTTACATTATGTTGTTTTTTGGTTTTGCGCATGAGCAATGCTCTTTATTTAGCATCAACTGCTTTCATAACAAACACCAGTTGCTTTTGTTTCACTCTACTTCAATTAAACACCTCAAACAGAAGTAAAAGCTGCTAAATCGCGCGATTATTGCTAGGTCTTGGGCTATTAGGGTTTAATTTAGCGACTTTGTTGGGTAGGAGATGTGTAACGGTACCTTGTTTTGCGTCCGGGTGAAGCAGGCTGGAGCGCTGCCGGCCTCCGCTGCGCGCACTGCGGGCTGACTCACCGCACACACACCGCTAGCAGACCAGGCTACCACTGCTAACGGGGTTACAACCGCAAACCTCGCGAGATGAAACGCGGCACGCCCACTAAAAGCGTAATGTTTACAAAATAAAACAGATAAAATGCTAATTTTGCTTACATTTTGCTTAATAAATGTCTCGCTATTGATTATTTCATAATCAGGAAGAATTATATAAGCCACTTTTTACACATAAATGCGATTATTCTGCAAATAACAAGCGTAAAGAGATTCTACTTTTATAGAGCTAGTAAATAACCATAACTTATAAATCGTCATTTACTTTAGCTCATTTTATGACGAAAACTTTGTTGTTATTTATTATTCTGTGTAATATGTTTAAGTTGTTATATGAGTTAATTCCAAACGTGTTAGGATAAATGCACACACGATTTAAAAACTAATACTTGTATATATTTTTCATTGGTTTACATATTTTCGTAGTTTTCTAGCTTTTATTTACATCGTCAAATATAAAAACAAAACACGACAAGGCGACAACATCCAATCAGTGCAGAGAATAACACAGACGTCATTTAGGCGCCAGTTAAGTCATATCCGAGACGTTCGGAAACATGTGAAGTACACTTGTGTGATGAAGTTACTGGATATTTTTTAACATTCTACCTGAAGTAAGTTGGGATATTTTTGGCCATTTTAATTCACGTATGCTGCATCTTACTGAACTTAGACAGGTTGTAAACATTTATTTTGTTTTTTAGAAAGAGAACCATGAAGGCGCTTCCCCCCGAGACTGTGCGTCTGCTGTGCAGCTCTCAGGTTATTACATCTGTCCTGAATGTTGTCAAGGAACTGATCGAGAATTCACTTGATGCTGGTTCCTCAAGCCTTGAAGTCAAACTGGTAAATATATATATCAAGTTATCATAAATGTCACATGTACAGTTTAGCCTAACGTCAGTATGTGTTAAATTTACAGTGTAGTACAGTATAGCGTAGCATAGTATAGTATGTGTTTTCTGGCACATATACAGTAATACACAAACACGCTTCATTGAACATGTACACATATACAACACCTGTTTACTATATAACTGCAGGTTAAGTATGTTAATACAGTAACTCTAACTGTTAAAAGTTACTTGGTAATTAGTTAAAGTTATTAGTAACTAATACATTTATGGTAACTAATAACCTTAACTGAATTTGATTGTAATACCTTTTGTAAAGCTGCCTTGATAAAATAATTATTGTGAAAAACACTATACAAACAAACCTGAATTTAATTAAATTGACATATTTTATACACACATAGTTTTGATATCATCTTTTAATTCCTGGCTTCACTTTTTAATGAAATATTACAACTTGTATGTACAACTTCCACAGCATTCTTAAAATACTAGAACTCATTCCTTAGATTCTCTCTGATTCTTATTCATGAGATAATATTGCCTATTTAATATATGCTAATTCATTATGGGTTAGTTCTTATTTATTTGGCACCAAACACACTATTTTTTAATTATAAGCTCTGTTTTGATATAAATTAGTTTTGACTTGTTATTATTATTTGAATACTGACTAATTAAGCATATTTTTTAAATATTACTGGTTTGTGTTTAATAAATGTTACTACATATTTATTTGATACTGATATTCATTAGATGGTGCCTATTTAATACATAATTCATAAGGTAATAGTTCTTATTCATTAGGCACCATGTGCTCTATTTTGTAATTATAAGCTGTTTTGATATCATTTATTTCTGACTTATTATTTTTATTATTATTATTCAAATACTGACTGACATTAGCATATTTTTAAATATTTCAAGTTTGCATTCATTAGTTACTACTACCTATTTATTTAATACTGATGTTCATTAGATGGTGCCTGTTCATTACATGCTAATTCATGAGGTATTAGTTCTCATTTTTTAGGCACCATATGCACTATTTTGTAATTATAAGCTCTGCTTTGATATACTTTATTTCTGACTTGTTGTTAATATTATTATTCAAATACTGACTGGCATTAGCATATTTTAAATATTACTAGTTTGGTTTATTCATTACTACAACTAATTTAATTGATACTAATATTTAGATGGTGCCTATTTAATAAATGCTAATCAATTAAGTATTAGTTTTCATTAGGCATTATGCACTATTTTGTAATTATTACTAGTACAACAAATCTTATCTTACTAGTCAGGTCTGCTTTTTTGCTCGTATTATGATATGAATGCAAATCTTACTATTACAAGTAAAAAGAAATGTGCTAGCATATCACCAGTTTTATCTTCCCTTCACTGGCTCCCAGTCCACTTTAGGATTCAGTACAAGTTAATGTTTTTAAAGGTTTGAATGGTCTGGCACCTACTTACATTGGTGAGCCTGTTCACTGGCATACTTCATCTAGTCCTCTTCAGTCGGCACAACAGCTTCAGCTAGTTTTTCCCAAGTCTCGATTAAAATCAAAAGAAGGACAGGAGTTTTTCTGTTGCAGCCCCTCGCCTGTGCAATGGTTTGCTTTTATATATCAGGTCATGCTGTTACCTTGGTGCTTTTAAATCTCATTCATCTTTTGTCTCTTGCATTTGATTTTAATCAATTTTATTTTGTTTACATATACAAGCATACATTTTGTGTGTTGGTTGATTTGTAAAGCACTTTAGTCAGCATTTGTAAAATGTATAAATGAAGCAAGCAAGGCAAGGCAAGTTTATTTATATAGCACATTTCATACACAGTGGCAAGTCAAAGTGCTTTACATAAACAAGAATAAAAGAAACAAGTATAAGAAAAATAAGAACAAATGTTAAAAATGATTTAAAAAAACAACAACATAAAACAGATAAAATGTGATATAAAAAATAAAAAGAAGAGAAAAGCATAATAGTGCAATCTGTCGGATGTAGCACAGTGCTCATTCAGTAAAATCACAGCTAAACAGATGTGTTTTCAGTCTTGATTTAAAAGTGCCTACTGTTGGAGCACATCTGATCATTTCTGGAAGCTGATTCCAGCAGTGAGGGGCATAGTAGCTGAAAGTGGTTTCACCCTGCTTTGACTGAACTCTTGGAATTTCTAGTTTATATGATCCTAAAGATCATATAAGCAAGCAAACAAACAAATACAAAGTATTACTAGCAACTTAAAATAATAAATGTGCAAACATTTAGTATAAAAACAGAAATATGTACAAGACACAAATCGAGTGCATATTAGTAAAACTGCAACAATAGAATAGCTACTAATCACGTATTAAATGCACTAATGTCTTTTGAAAAAGTACTACTTTAATGACAATTTATACTGGTATGGTTTTTATGACATAAGCTTTTTTATATACAGATTTTCATGCATTTTTAAGTGTGCAGATATTGTTTGGGTGAATCTGTGTTGATGTTTTTTTTTTGTGATCAGGAGAATTATGGACTGGATCGCATTGAAGTGCGAGACAATGGTTCTGGTATTAAAGCTACTGATGTTTCTGTGATGGCTGTAAAACACTATACGTCTAAAATCTCTTGCCATGAAGACCTGGAACAGCTAGAGACTTACGGCTTCAGAGGAGAAGCTCTGGCATCCATATGTGCCATCTCAGAGGTTACGTTTTACTTGTTTTAAAATGTATAATGTGAAAATAAAGTGAAAAAATATTTTAAATAATGTTTTACATGCAAACATGAAAAAGTATGATGTCTAAAAAACAAACAAACAAACAAATAACAAATATAAATAAATGCTGTGAATATAGGCATTACAACATAATATATCGTAAAAATAAACATTTTTGCTAATGAAAAAAGCAAAACTTTATTAAATGTTAGTAATAATGATAATATAAAAAATATTTTAATATGTTATGAAAGTAGCACAATCGCATCACAGCAAGAAGGTCGCTGGTTCAAGCCTTTGCTGGGTCAGATGGCATTACTGTGTGGAGTTTGCATGTTCTCCCCTTGTTCGCGAGGGTTCCTCAGGGTGCTCTGGTTTCCACCACAGGTCCAAAGACATGCGCTATAGGTGAATTGGGTAAGCTAAATTGTCCGTAGTGTATGAGTGTGAATGAGTGTTTGGATGTTTCCCAGTGTTGGGTTGCGCCTAGAAGGGCATAAGCTCCGTAAAACATGCCGGATAAGTTGGCGATTTATTCCGCTGTGGCGACCCCCAGATAATAATGGGACTAAGCCAAAAATAAGATAAATAAATGTTATGAAAGTTATATTTTCTTTTTCTTTTTTTGTCTTTTTTTATTTAAAGATTTACAATGACAGAACAGTGGTATAGGTGTCTCATGTCATCATATACAATAATATAGCAATCTATTATACAATCGTCCATCGGCTAGTAATTCAAGCCTTTTGTGAAGGGTAAAATTAACAAAAAATAAATAAATTAAAATAAAAATTATATAAAAACCACAACAAAAGAATGCATTTTCTTGCAAGATATGTACAAAAGTGTAACAGAGTCTAGTCTATGACTAAGTTGTAGAGCAGTTTTACAATTCAGAAGGTAAACAGCTGGAGAAAGGGCAAGAAAGTTTTATTTTCAGTATAATATGAAGTTGACCTAAAAATTATATTTAGAAAATGACTTGTCTTTTTTACCATTATCAGAGAAAATTATGTCAATTTCTGATATAAATAAATAAAAGGGAATATACAGAATGAAGTATGAGATCTGCTAGGGATTCGAGTAAATGCAATATAAAATTGGTTGAATTATGAAAATTAAATGATTAGTCTTATTAACTAATGAGTGTGTGAGCTCAAGATATTGGCAAATGTATAAACAGGCAGAAATTAAATTATGTGCATAATTATAAAAAATCTAGCATTTCCAGTATGCAGAATTAATTGACAATGTTAAGATAGTCTTCTTATAATTAAGCTAACATGAACTAACAACAAACAGCTGTATATTTATTAACAAATATTAATAAATACTGTCATCTGTTACCTAAAGGTGTTATTAAAATTGTTAACATGTATTAGATAATATACGCTAATATAAAGGAACAGAAATTCCATCTTTAATTGGTAATACAAATATTATATATGTTTCTTGAGTCTGTAATTTATCTTTGCTTCTCCTTCCAGGTGATTATTACTACCAAAACTGCAGATGACGATTTTAGCATTCAGTATTCAGTGGATCACAATGGACAGATCGTCTCTCAGAAGCCATCTCATCTTGGCCAGGGTATACGACTGTTAATGCAGTTTTTATTCACATGATTTATGGCAACAGACTGCTTCCAACATACCTTTTCCCACAGGCACCACGGTGTGTGCGGCAAATCTGTTCAAGAACCTTCCGGTTAGACGGCAGTATTATTCCAACACTAAAAAATGTAAAGATGAGCTTAAGAGGGTCCAGAACTTACTCATGGCTTATGCTGTAATAAAGCCTGAGTTACGGGTCACGCTGAGCCACAACAAGGTATGTTATGTCTGCGTCTGGTTTTGACCGCACAATGTAAATGCCTTACAGTGGCTAACTGATATGTGTGTTTTAAAGGTCTCTTTACATGCATTTGAGCTAGGGCTGCACAATATCAGAAAAATCTAACATTGTGATATTTTGTTATTCTGCAATATGTATTGCGATATGAATACAATTGATGACTTGATATCTCTATTTGGAAAGAATTTATGATTTTAGATTACATCAATTACAATAAACAATCTAAAAGCATGGATAAACACAATAAAGAAAAAGATACAAATGAAATGCACAATGTTTTATTGTTTTCTGATAAGTTTAAACAGTAATTGAATAATCAATGCAAAATATTACTGCGTAGCCTTCATTATGGATAATCCAAAACAAACTGTACTATTTCAATATTGCATAAGCTGCAATGTGACTATTGTGAATGATCATATTGCAATATCGGTGCTGATCTGAAGCCCTAATCTAAGGTACAAACCTACAAAAAATACATTGAACTATGGATGTCCTGATCAGTTTTTTTTTTGTCCTCAAGTTCGAGTCAATTGATTTTGAGTATGTACCGAAACTCGATACGATACTGCTATAATGCATAAAAAAAGAGTTAAAAAACAGAGGATGTTCCTTATTTTTTATTTAATTCACCTTATTTTACCATTCAACAACTCTGTTAACAAACAGAGCACTTCTGTGAGGTAGCTTGAACAATGAAGAAATAAATAACATACATTTTTCCCCTCTTGCAATCCCAAGTTTACAGATCTCACAGTTTGCTATGGCAATGTTGTCATCATCAACTTTACAATACCTCCAGATTGCAGACATACTCGGATTGTTGCTATATCAGATACGGTTGCGGCCTGAAGTTAATGATAATCATTTATATTCTCCTTTAAATTTCCCATTAATTGTATTGTATTAACGTCTACCTCGACCCTAATCCTAACCGTCACATTACTGTAAAAATATTAATTATTGTTATACAGTGTTACTAAAGTGTTGCTATATTGATGTGCGTATTCGCAGCTGTATCTAGACTTTACTCTTGCTTTCTGCTTTAAGCTTCATATATACATATATATTCGAGTGCTGATTGAGAGGTAACGTTCGATCCCTAATTTCAACATTGCATATGCTGGGATGTGACTATTGTGAATGATCACATTGCGATGTCGATGCTGAAACGATATATTGTTCAGCCCTAATCTGATGTACAAAACAAAAAAATACATTGAACATCACTTAATATCTTATAAAGCTTCATAATTAATTCTTTCTAAACCCCTCCTTTCTGAGAGCCAACACACAGACAGATGAGGCAAAGAAATACAATCTTACAAAATATCGCTGAACTCCATTAAAATGACATTGAAATATAAAACTATTTAAAATCTTTTTTATTTTTTGTTAATTAATTAAATTTTTTTTTTTTAAAGAAACATATTTTTGGTCTAGTGGTACATTATTATTTTTTTTATTTTATTTTTACATCAAGGGAGTCAACAATTACAAAACAATTATGTATGAGAGACATTTTTCCACCTGACTTCCTGTACATTTAAAAATACAGGTTACAAAACCTGAATGCTATACAATACTGCGAAAATAAAAAGAAATGAGAGTACAGTGCAAGAGTGTAACCATAATAATAATTAAAGAAAATTAGCAGGGTAAGGAACAATGTAATTTTGACTTTGCATTGTTAAATAGATTTAACAGTATTGAATATATATTATATATCTAGTAGGGCTGCACGATAGTGGAAAAATCTAACATTCCAGTATTTAAAAATACAATTTCACCAGATTGCTTAAATATCTCTATTAGGAAAGAATGTATAATTTTATATTGATTGGGATGATTCTCTAGGGGAGGGTTTGTTGCATAAAATACAATATAGAATCCACAAGTATAGAGAAATACAATAAAGAAAAATATGCAATTGAAACAAAGTGCGTCACCTTAGAAATATAAGGTCCTATCTTGACATTTTTGTCAATATTGAGTTATTGACGCATTCTTATTAAATGACAACTTATTTACATTTACATAAATTATTTACTTATTTACATAAATACTTATTTACATTATGGACTGTTTTTTATAAGCTGTTTACATTTTAAGACTTTTATTTAAAAACAAATGTTACACACATGCTATATGGAATGCAAAAACTTTGAAGCTCAATATCTCAAAATCATTCGGAACACAGATAGAACCTTATAATTCCAAGGTGACGAGTCTTTTATCATTTTATGAGTGTTGATGTACAACATATGAATAATAAAGATAAATCAATGGTACAATTTCTTATCCCTGAAGGTTTTTAAAATCAACACAGGCCTCAAAAACGCATCCAAATGATACATTTTAATGCAAACACAACATTGCATATCCTATTGTGAATGATCCTATTACGGTTAGATGCTGAAGCAGCCCTAATATCTAACATTGTTAATTCTCAATCCAAAAATGAGGTCTAGTGGTTTTAATTCAATATAAAAATGTAAGCAGCAGTATTCATTACAGAAATTATTTGTATCATTATTAACATCTCTTCACTGTCACTTTTGATCCATTTACCTGTACTGCATCCTGGCTAAACCAAAAAGAGTCTCAATGAGCCTCAGCTTTGAGACGTTGGTGTATAATTGACCACAAGGTGGCCTCACACATCAACAAATGCTATGGCAAAACTCTCTAGGGTTTTACCCACATTCAGTGACATTAAACGATCACACCGCATGATATCACTTGTGCTAATACTGTTCAGCTAACGTTAATTAGAACTTATGTAACTTGTTTATTGCTGTGGCTTTTCACTTCTGTGCTTACTTCTAGCAGTTACAGTTTAATATCTCATATTCTTATAGTAATCAGCAAAGATGATAAAAGACATCTTAGCATGTAGTTTAAATTAAATATTGTATCATATATGCTCTAAAATAAAGTTTTGGCATTATTAAAATTCAATAGAAGTGCTTGTTAACATTAGTTAAAGCACTGTAAGTAAGCGAGAACTAACAATGTTACTTTAATGTTTACAAAAAGGACTAAATACTGTCATAAATGTATTGTTCAGTGTTTGTCATACATTAACATTAGCTAACAGACTCATCTTTTAGATCAATTTAATATAATAATGGCTGTTTAATTGTTTTAAAGGAATAGTTCACCCAACAATGAAGTAGTTGAACACTAAAGAAGATATTTTAAAGAATGCTGAAAACCTGTAACCATCAACTTCCATAGTAGGAAAAACAAACACTATGGAAGCAAATGGTTACAGGTTTCCAGCTTTCTTTAAATAAGACATATTTCCGTTCTGCTAAAGAAAGCAACTTATAAAGAGTTGAAACAAAGTGCGATTGCATGATGACAGAATGTTAATTTTTGCGTGAACTATCCCTTTAAGCTCTTATAAGCAAACTAGTACTTAAATAATGACATTGCCCCATGTAAATCCGCAGATGATCGAATTACTTTTCTGCAAGCTACGATGACAGCTCAGGCATTTCCAGAACTCAGAGAGCTTTTGACTGTCATCAATTAGAGCGTAACTCGGGGAAAGTGGACATTTCGCCCGCTCCTCGTTCCAAAATTAGCAACGCCAACCGCAAGACGAACCACTAAGCCTTCGAATCTCACACTGCCACACGATCCTAAAGTAACAAGCTAAGTGCTGTAAGTTCCCTGAGTGTTTTTGCGAGTCCTGTAACAGCCTGGCCTCATGACGGCAAACGTATCTGTCCCTGCTCTGCGAGACCTCGCGTACCTTTCATTAAATTCATATCACTCAGGTTGTAGATCATCGGGGGAGGGCCATACACCCGTTTCATGCCATCAGCACTTCCAAGCGGATCTCGTATCACAAACTTTGCACTTCGCCCTGCGTTGGGTTTCATGACTTCTCAAAAAGCTGTTTACTAGTCTGATCCCTTTACAGTCACCAAATTGTAGATTTCATAGCAGTGGAACGCATTGCCTTCAGAAATCAACACCTTGGATATATATATACTTGCATGTGGAAGTGCCAAACGCATAGGTGTGAAAATATATGCGTAACCGTGCTTGTCATGTTGTGCATGAAGCTTGTGTGCTTGATGCTGCCAGATGGTGGAAAAATCGTCATGACATAAAGCGTCCTTTAATGAAATCTGCCGAAGGTTTATCCAAACACTCCCCAGAGTATAACTGTTTATTGGGAAAGCTTGATTGGTGCTTAATGGCATGTTTTGCGAGCATCCAATCCCACAGGTGGTCTTATTTTAGGATGACCGAAAAATAACTTGACCCGTTTTACCGTGTTGTTACAGGCTGTGGTCTGGCAGAAGTCCAGGGTGTCGGATCACCGAACTGCCCTCATGGCCGTGCTCGGAGCAGCGTCCGTAGCCAACATGCTCCCCGTCCAGCATCACCAGGAGCAACCAGAGGTCAGTGAAGCACTGAGAAAACACGGGCATATTTATCCTTTCCAGCATGAGCAGTAGGGATCCACAGATGCACCAGCATCCGTGACGGTCTGCACTAGGAAACTATTTTTGTAGAATGTTCACAAACAGGGTTCACTCTTCAGTCCCACGCATCACTTTATTAATACGTGTTTGTGGGAGCTTGAACCTACTTTTAAACATCTTTGCACTTCTGTCAGGTTGCTAAACCCAAAGACTCGTGTAACAATTTAATTCCGAACGGCTTTCCTCTCCCTGGAGAGCTGTTTCTCTTTTTCCTGGTTGTGCATTCCGCAGCAATGACTTTTTGCATGAATGACTCAGCATTCTTACCTAGGTTATACCTTACATAAAGCCGTTTAATTTTCACGACGGGATTAAACACTTCAGCTTATATGTGGTCTTTATATATTGAATGTTTATGGCTCTGAGGATTTTCCGGACAATTCGCACACACATACATCTGGTTGAATGAACGTCAGCAGTAAATAACAGTCAATGTAAACCAAACCCTAATCCCAAGCAAAGATGATACAAGACATTTTGGCATGCAGTTTTTATTTAATATTGTATCATGTATGCTGTAACTAAGTATGAACGATTTTGTGTCAAATTTTTATTATAGAATTTAAAATTGTGCTTGTTAGCATTAGTTAATGTACTGTAAGCTAGAACTAACAACTATTTACATTAACATTTGCAAAGATGAATAAGTACTGTCATAAATGTATTGTTCACTGTTGGTTCATGGTAGTAAATACATTAACATTAGCTGACGGATTCATATTTTAAAGTGTTACAAACAAATTTCATATAATAATGGCTGTTTAATTGTTTTAAAAGAATAGTTCAGCCGGAAATGAAAATGTACTCAACTCAAGTGGTTGAACACAAAGGAAGATATTTTAAAGAAAGCTGAAAACCTGTAACCATTGACTTTCATAGTAGGAAGCCAGTGGTTACAGGTTTCTAGCATTCTTCAAAAAATGTCTTTTCTGTTCAACAGAAGAAAGAAACTCAAAGATTTAAATCAAATAATGGGTAATTACATGATGACAGATTTTTTCTCTCTAAGCTTATTGTTGGTATGTCTTTAAATGATCAATATTACTAGATATTTACAGTTGAAGTCAGAATTATTAAACCCCCTGAATTATTAGCTCACCTGTTAATTTTTTTCCCCATTTTATGTTTAATGGAAAGATTCTTTCCTAAGCATAATAATTTTAACTCATTTCTAATAGCTGATTTCTTTTATCTTTGCCATGATAAGAGTACATAATATTTGACTAGATATTTTTCAAGACACTTCTATACAGCTTAAAGTGACATTCAAAGGCTTAACTAGGTTAACTAGGGGTAGTTTATTAGGGGTAATTAGAGAGAGTTATTGTATAACTATAGTTTGTTCTATAGACTATTGAGTAGACGTATAGCTTAAAGGGGCTAATAATTTTGACCTTCAAAATGTTTTTTAAAAATTCAAAATTTCTTTTATTCTAGGCGAAATAAAACAATTAAGACTTTCTCCAGAAGAAAAAATGTTATCAGGCATATTGTGAAAATTTCATTGCTCTGTTAAACATCATTTAGGAAATATTTGAAAAATCTAAAAAATCAAGGGGATTTTTAATAATTGTAAATATAACTGTATATGTGTAATTACACTCAAACAGTGACACCTTAGAATGAGGCATTTCCTCGTTTTTGTTTTCATTTTGATCCACTTGGTCTGTTTGTTTTATCAAATACTGCTACATTCACACATTTTAATAGATGTTTATAATTAAAAAATGATTTTGCCTTTTGCATTTATAATAAATATACTGTTAAATACTTTTTAAATATCTACCCTTTTACCTGGAAAGTTATTAGTACTGTTAAAATGCCTTTTTGTTTGTTTGATATTTTATTTGATACACTTTTATTTTATTTCAGTCTGACTTGGGTGTCTAAATATTTTGCACATTATTTTTTTTAATTAATGCCTCTTTGAGATTTATATTTGTATATATTGGTTATATTAAATATATATTTTATCTATATAATGCAAAGAATTTCATGCATTTATTGTTCTTTTTTATTGTTCATTAAATGTCCTTTGTGTTTATTGTAGCCACTTTGCATTGTCAAATGTGCAAAAAAGAAATCTATTCCTGCAAGTCTTTACTATTTTCATCCAAAATTTCAGATTATTTTATTTCAAACTAGATTAGGTGCTATAATAATAAAAAAAAAATAAATAAAAAAAACTGTGGGTGAGGCAGTAGCGCTGTAGGTAGTGCTGTCGCCTCACAGCAAGAAGGTCGCTGGTTCGAACCTCGACTCAGTTGGAGTTTCTGTGTGGAGTTTGCATGTTCTCCCTGCCTTCGCGTGGGTTTCCTCCGGGTGCTCCAGTTTCCCCCACAGTCCAAAGACATGCGGTACAGGTGAATTGGGTAGGCAAAATTGTCCGTAGTGTATGAGTGTGTGTGTGTATGTGTGTGTGGATGTTTCCCAGAGATGGGTTGCGGCTAGAAGGGCATCCGCTGCGTAAAAACTTGCTGGATAAGTTGGCGGTTCATTCCGCTGTGGCGACCCCGGATTAATAAAGGTACTAAGCCGACAAGAAAATGAGTAAATGAAAACACAAAACTTGTTTGTGATTTGTTAATAATTGATATGGCCAAATTAGTGAATATATATATTCATTTATATGTTCATATATATTCTATTCATAAAAGGATAATCGTTTTTAAGGTATATCGCGATTTGGAAAAGTCAAGGTTTTAAAACAAAAATTTCTGTTATACCATTCCTATGGTATATGTAAGATTTTATTTTTTGCGTTTTTTATTTTGTAGCTTTTTGGACAATAGTATCTCCAGCAGAAACAATCTGTACAGGCTCGTACACACCTGGACGCTTTTCGTTTGTGTTTATCGTCAGCGTTTTGCAAGACGTTTTTCCGGATTCAAACCCAAGCGATTTTCACTGGCATCAAGCAGAAGAGTATGCACTCCTTGACGTTAAATGGCACTACCCAACTTTAAGCTTCTTACACCTGCTTGTAACACAAAAGAAGAGTACCAAGTTGACACGCTTGTTGTTATGGATGGTTCAAGCAGCAGCTACAGCTCTAGCGATGAAAAAATTATTATTGTTCACAGAGCAATAAGCAGCTCTAAGTTCATATCGTCTCTGGGAATCTTCTTCAATGTGCGCTCGCATTGACAGTTGTGCACGTGAGCGCCCCCAAGTGCTGTTAACTGTAACTTCAGCAGCTCCGTGCACGCGAACAAAAGTTCCAACCTAATTGGTGGAGAAGGTTTTAACGTGGCACGTCAAAAAAAAAAAAAAAAAAAAAAACGAGCATGAGACGTCTTTTTTAAAAATTAAGATTTTACGTCTGGCATTTTGCGTGTTAGTGTGCATGATCACATTGACCCCCATTATTTAGTCACGAGGCATTAAACATCAACGGAAAACATGAGCAAAAAGTGTCCCAGTGTGCACAGGCCTTAAAGATGCCGTCTTAAATTGTTAAGAAATCTGTAATTTTGAAACTAATGACGACAACAGAAATGAATGATTCACTTGAATATTTAGCCTGACAGGATTACTGTTTTAAAATATTTTAAATGATGTACGACGAATGGCATTTTGTCAATATTACATGACATACCCTCGTCAGTTGCAATGCTGTACTCCCATTTATGAATTCTCTCGCAGTGCATCATGGGATGGGGTAGCGTCCATCGAACGCACACTTCAGAGTCTCGCCGGAAGTACCAGGTCATCGAGGTACTTCTCGCATACTGTTTTTCGAGTTCTTTGAGTTCGAACATACTACTCGGCTCGCATACTGTTTTTAGCGTACGATATAGTATGGAAGTATGCAATTTCGGATGCAGCCATAATGTTCAAAGCGGAAAAATGTTCTTATTTTTTACCCAGACATTTAAAAAGAATATATTTTAGAGCATTAATCACAATACCGTCGAACTGTAATATTTTTATCTAAGGATATCATGCCATTAGAAATGTATACCGTCCCATGCCAATTATATTCTGAAACAAATATTAGAAACATAAAACATGCTGTTAGTTCTAGAAATGTTTAAAACGTTTTGTTTGTATATTTGATATTTTTTTCCTTATAACGTGTGACTTTCCTGTTGAAATACTCTTTGTGTCCATTGTATTTTTAGGGCTGAAATTGTGTTACTTTAGTCAGATTTCACTGTAGAATTACCTATACTGGTAAAGGCTGTGTGCCTTTGTAAGATTACGTGCTGTCATGCAGCGTTTACCTCACAGCGGTCAGTGATGGGTCACATTACAGAGTCAGCAGTGAACCTATGGACCGAATGCGGCAAACTTTGCGACAAATGCAGCAGTGAATTAAAGGAGCCTTTAGGGACTGCAATGTACGTGGTGAAAGGGCCTCAGAGGGACATAACCTGCATGTGTTGGCCAGAGTCCACAATCCCGCTGCTCTGGCACAGATTTAATACACTGCTACAAACACAACGAGCCAGCATTCGTTCAAGCATTAAAGTGTGTGATATAAAGTGTTCGGGATTGGTAAATACTTTGAGCTTGACACACATGTGAAGACTGAATGTTTGCTGCAGGTGTAATGTGTTCATTGCCTGCGGTGCTACTCCAAACTAATCCTGCTTGACTAATCTTCAGCGTTTTTGGGTCACTCCTATTATGCAGTATTTTTTTTCAAGCACATTACCGTTGTTGAAGAGCAGGTCATATGGGTTTTTCAAAAATATTTATTTTGCATTGAAAATTGTTAATAAAAAAAATTTGCGGGATGAATAAACATATTTGTTCATATAAATATATCAATGCATAAATGTATATAAAGAAAGAGTAAACTCTGAATTGCCCTTCAGACCGTTATAATGTTCCAAGCTTCAGAAAAACACAGAAGTAGATTTTTGCCTTTTCTTAAAGCTTTCAGGAAAAAAACTATTAATAATTATAAT